CCAGTAATTTGCGCAAATTGATCCACGAGATGTTCTGCACGTTGCGTTTTTCGTGACGATCATTGCACTTTCCGAGTCACGCTCTCGACGAGGCTTTTCCTCCTTGCTTGATACACTTCGATGCGATAAAAAAAAATCATCTTCATGCGTTCAGACATTCCGAGAATTAAAAAATTACTCCGCAATTTTTTTCTAAAAAAATTCAAAGTTTTCGCTGTCTTTATCCGCCTTACTTTCACACGGGCGCAAAAGTCGCGCTTGCAATCGCGCGATGGTGTCACTTCGCTGGAGCTTCTAAAACGCGGCTCACGGAACGAAACGGGTTATCCGTCACGAGAATCTAGAGATAGGCGACCGATGACGTGGCGACCGATAGCTGCCGATGCTCCGGAAACTGTCTGCGTTCGCGCGGGCGAGATAGGTATTCCGATCGTGGCGGCCGGACCAGTTTGCACGTCATATAGTTCGGCGACGAGCTTCGATCACACTTGTTGAGGGGAAGCCTTCGGCACCACCTCCGCCACCATCCACCACCTCTCTCGCGCTGCTTCTCTACCTCTCCCATTCTCTTTCGCCTTCATTCTCTTTCTCTGCTTTCCCTGTCCTCCCTCCCACCTCCTTGTCGTCCGCGCCTCCTCTCCTTCTTCCTCTTTACCATCGCTCCATCATCTACCTCGCCCGCCTAGTATGGTACACCTCCACGAACGAACGACCTTGACCTCACGTCGCATCTTCACGTTGTCCCGAAATCCCTTTCGTCTAGGCGTCGGATATCGACGCGATCGATTCGCGCGATCGGCTACGGACCGATGGTCTCAAATATGTATACCGAGAGAAAAAAAAGGGCTAAATTACTAAAATACAGTCGTCTTCGGTGCCAACTTGTACATATTTGTTTGGTAGAGTATAATAATTATTATATGAATATAATTATTCTTACTAAATTATACAGCCTTGAATATAAGTATAAAGTATTCTTCTCACAAATTGATGTAAATCGTCGTTCTATATTTAACAAAAATAAATTAAAAAACAATTTTATTGAAAAATATTTACTCTTTTGACAATTTTAATATTTTGTTAGTCCTTTGGCTTTTATTACAACCTTTTTCAAGAAGACGCAATAACTTGAAAATGCTTTATACTTACGACCAAGACTGTAGCAGTGATAAAAATGGACTCTCCTAACCATAATTACTTTATCAATTATAGTAACAAATATCAAACACTTTTCTCTCAGCGTTACATATATATATGTAACTAATGTATGTATAATCTATATCTATGTATGTCTACTAGACTATATCTTAATCCTGTATATCGATTGGAATGGCAATCTGAGGATATCGGACAGTACTATCGAAATTCGATAATTGATGCCGGGAAACGTCGGAAATCGACTAAAACTTAAATTTTAATATTATTACGCTCGATGGGGACAATCACATTATAGTATGTTAAATTTATAATGCGATAATTATCATATTATAAATCTAAAATTATGTGATTATAAAATGTTATAATTATCATACGGTTGACAACCGGGAGTTGTTAACCTCGGACGACCGTGTGCGTTGGTGACTCCTCCAAGTCTCCTTCCCACCCCCAGATCCGTCGTCAGTCCACCTCTTATTGTACATACCGTCCGTGCCGTTCCTCCGAGCCATTGACGCCACTACGGTCTTTCTCCGGAGAAGCTCGAGGCGAAGGTCGAAGAGAGCGGGCCGCGAGAGGAACGGGAAGAAGAGCGCGTGTGAAGTCTCCCGACACGCGTGAGTTATGTCATCGCGGGCGGCGTAACGCGTACTTCGTACTGATAACGCATTCACGCGATGACGAGAGAGAGAGAGAGAGGGAGAAAGAGTGTGAAAAAGAGAGAGACGCATCGTCACTTTGGTAGACGAGCGCGGTTTGAACAGCGTCCGGAGCCAGTTCCTGGATCGAATTCGAATCGTACACGAGAGCTACTTTTAAATCCTTTTAAATCCCGATATCGCGCGAAAGCGATGCGTCGCACTGGAGAGTGGAGAGATCCTGCTGCTCGGCCGAGAACAACTGAACAAGTCGTAATAAAAAAGATTGGCCAGGCCCTCGCGCGACGACAGAAACACGCGAGCGCGGTGATAACAACCGCACTGGCAACACGCGCGTGGTCGCTCGCTTTATCGTCGCGCGCGCGCGCGGTTTCACGCGCGGAACCAGCCTTCGTCGTTACGAGAGTCCGGGCCGATAATCAATCGGTCGTAAACATTCGCGGAGCGAAATCGCGCCGAGTCGCACGCTCGTAAAGAAAGGGACACGACAATGGCGTGTTCGCGGCACAGTGCGACGCGTGTCGCCCGGGAAAATTAATGCGGCGGGCTTAACGCGGCCCGCAAAGCCGGCACGAAGGCAGGTTACAATACGTCGTTATCGAGAAGAAATATCCGCGAAATCGAATCGCGGATAGTCGATCTGTCACGAGATTTATGTTGTCGGCGATGACACATTCCATTTTCTTTCTCTTTCCAGAAAGTTTACTGAAATCTTGTAAAAAAAAAATTGCCTGAGAATTCCCGGATTTTCCAAGTATTTTCTTTCAAAATTCCAAGTAAGATTAAAGACTTTTTTTAACGTAATTTTGAAATAAATTGGAGTGTAAGCAGGTAATGCTAACAAACTACGCATTGTAAATTTGTAAAAAAAAAAAAGGATTCCGCGGAATATAACTATTTTTTCCCACAGTTACAGAGACGCGAAATCTATAGAATACTACAGGGAAAGCTATACAATATAATGTGTACTCTTCTGCTGCGTATTGTCTTCCACTGTCATCCTAAATTTTTAATAAAAATTCGTGGGACATATAAGAATGCACGTGAACATACGCGGATGTGCGTGCCATACTTGTTGCTAACCGATTGTCAACCGTTTTGCATTGTCAGGAAAAAAATAATCGACGAAACAATATTTTCAAAAGGGGACACAATTTAAATTTAAAAATAAAATTCTGCAGAAATTTTCGAGTATACCGAAAAAATTCTCTGAAAATTCCCTCATTTTTAAAAATACAAAAGAAATGTTTTCAAAATCCCAAATTTTTCCAAGTGTTTCCTGCAAGTAGTAAATTGGTAAAAAACCTTTTCTCTTTTCTTTCTCTTCCTCTTCGCATTTAAGATAAATTTTGATATAACTGTTGTGAATGTGCGAGGAAAAATTGTAAAAACGAGCAGGCAAATGAAACAGAAAACGGCCAAATTTTTGAAGAATCAAATGACGAATTAGGGCGAATATTTGGGATACCTGAAATATTTCTTCCATGCGTATTATTTTCTCGGAATGAAAGCTAATGCTAATGTCTAACTTTCGTTCCATAACGATATTTCATAATCTTTCCTTTTCTCTTTTTCCTTCATTCGCCCCGGACAGAACTGCGTCGCGGTAATATTCCACTTCCAGGTATGCCGATTTGTCGCGTTTAAACCCGCGATAGGTGAAAGCGAGCGCGTTTTAATCCCGTCGTAGCGCGAGGACGTGCGATTATCACCGTCAAGGAATTAAAGTCGCCGCACGCGAGGAGGCCTCTCCTCGCGCGGAATCTGGGCCACGTATAACGTCGTGCCTCCGCGCTATCTCGTTTGCCCGCGATGCCAAATTCTCGTAAGTTATAGTTAGTCGTACTAATAATGGTACTATCGCCGAGCGAGCAAGCGAGCGAGCGAGAGCGAGCGAGAGAGAGAGAGAGAGAGAATGCGAGGAGATCGGCATTTCGGAAAATCGCGTGCCCGCTCGCGGCACGCTTGCGTAACACCGACATAAAAATACTCTCGTCGCGCTCTCGATCGCTCAAAGATCGAGATTTACTCGAGAACGATCCGCGAACGCGAGCGCATCTCGAGTCGGACGGATTCCACGAAGGCTGCGAGCAAAGTCTTCAAATTTTTTATTTTTTGTCAAGGAAACTGAATGAAGTCTGCATCGCGCTACGTATTGACGAATGAGGATTGTGAATTAGAAACTGGAGCGATTAGGACAAAACGGGTGAAAATTGAAATTATCTGACTGGTTAAATTCTAATCTCTATATATTCGCAATTCTCGATCTTCAATGCGTATATAGTGTGACACGGACTTTAATGTCCGTATCTACGAGTGTAGATTAACTTTAATTTTGGTTTGATTTACTTTTTATCTCTTTCTAATTCTAAGAATCGGAAGAAAATATATAAGGAGTAAATTGAATCGAGATTAAAGTTAATCTACATTGATAGAATTGGTAGAAACGTAACTCGATCGAGTTTGCAAATACCCTGGGCGGTACGCTTCGCGAATCATATACGTGTGAACAGTACATTTCGCGCATTACGGATCAAAATGTGTGGCTAAATGTAATTTATAACATAATGTAATTTAACGTGAAAGAATAGAACGCGGGGCGGTTCTCACGGAAGGGATATGTACACATTTATCGATACAATTTCTATCCTTTTCCGCGGTACTCTCGATATTATCCTCGGGCGTTCGGGCCGCGTTTTTACGTAACGCCGACTTCGGTTCCAGCAAAATCAATTGCAACCGGATGCTAATTAAAAGCGAGGTTGGGCGAAAATTCATTTCGCCTCCCCGACAAGGGGAGGGGCCTTTAATCAAAAGCGTTCATGTTAATCAAAACGAGAGGTGGCGCGGCTGTAATGATTTTGCAAATAATTATCTATCCATCGTTTGGAAAAAAATTCACCGTGTTTCTTTAATCGTTAATTATAAACTGCGTCGCGATGTGCGACTTCATCTACGCAACGTGAGTTATTTTTCATTGTGTACAACTGTACAACAATGCCGCGATGTTTTATATATCCTTGTTAGGCATTACTTTGCAACTGGATATTAAAAACATCGTTAATATTAATCCGTGGATAAACACGCTCTTTTTTTTAAATATAATTAGAAACGCGAGCTTAATTGGATGCCTCACAATATATTTAATTAAAACTCGTTCAGTTTGATATAAAAAAAAAAACTCACTTTGATCCATCCTCCATGAGCGGTCACCACCACATATAGCAAATACAGATCTATATCCTTCCCATTTATCTTCGGAGTCTTCTTGAAGAGAGTCCTGCAATCAGGAAAGAAAGAATCTTTGTAATACCGAAGTAACTGGAGTAGAGAGAGAGAAATTTCTCATACGCCATATTTAATAATTAATTTTTCATTAAGAAAAGCAATCTTTCCTTTTCAAGATTTATGTTTTCGTAAAAATATCATGTCGAGAGTAGCAAACAATCGCTTGTCAACTGTTGCACTTTTTAATGTTTTCTTTTTATAAACGTAAAGAATAATAATCGTTCAATTCAATTAATTTGTAAAAAAATCACATGTACGAAAATCATCTATATTTAATAATTAATTTTTCATATCATAAATCAAACAGTAATTTTTCCTTTTCAGGATTTTTAAAAATATCACATCCAAGAATCACACAAACAACCGTTTGTCAACTATTGTATTTTTCAATGGATTCTCTTTGCAAACGTAAAGAATAATAATCGTTTAATTCAATTAAGTAATTGATTTGCCAAAAAAATTTCGCGCTATATTTAATAATTAATTTTTTATAAATCAAACAGCAATTTTCTCTTTTCAAGATTTATGATTTTTCATACAAATATCATATCAAGAGTAACAAACGTTTGTGAACTATATTGTATTTTTCAATAGATTCTCTTTTTAATTAATTTACCAAAAAATCAAATATAATATTTTTTATTCATAAATAGTACTTGTAACGGAATATATATTTTTTATTCATAAATAAGACTTGTAGCGGAATATATATTTATTTATAAATAGAACTTGCAACGGAAAGGAGTGACAATATGGCAAATATCCACATATTTTCGTAGAATCTTAATGCAAAATTTAATCGATAAATTGGCGAATTTCCCGAAAGAAAAGACATCCGAAGAAAATCCAATTTTGAAATTAAAACGAAATGGATATCGAATCGCGACGCACACGCCTTGCGAAACACTCGGCGCATAACGCGCGTTATTTCCGTTTTCGCGTCGTAAAAAGAAAAAAAAAATTCACGATTCACGTAATCGTGATATAAGATCCGGAGCTAAATCGAATCGCGGCAACAACAGGACGTTCATAGCGTATTTACGTTACATCGTCGCGCACATTTCGAGAATATCTCCGCCGCTACATCGAGTCTATACGCGTACGCACACGACACGTATACGTGTGCACACGAAGGCAATCCGACGTATACACACCGAAAATACCACGTCCTTCCGGCGAGGCGCGTTTTCCTCTCGGCGTCGCGCGTGCGAAATACGTCCACGCGGAAAACGACACGGGGGGGGGGGGGAGACGCTCGCAAAGAACCTTACGAACCGTGAGGAATCTTTGTTCCACGGAACTCGAACGGAGTCGAGGGAACGAAGTCGAACCTAACCTCAACGCGCGCTCGCGCGTCGTTGCAGCTTCTGATCCGTCGATCCGCGATCGGTCGGCGGGTGACCGCGGTCGGAAGAGAAGAGGGAGGGGAGAGGAGAGAAGAGCGATCTCTAAGTTCGAGAACCAAAGCAAGCATACGCGGGACGGGGGGGAGGAGGAAGGGATGGAGGGGAGGAGACCGCGCGCTATCAGCGCGATGTTCACGAGGTTCGTCGCGAGACGAATAATACATGTATTTCGGCTTTCGGCTTACCCTCGGGTCTCGTGGAAGTGTCGGAGGTCCTTGAGGAAGTTCTCCCTCTCCTTCTCGTACGTGACGGGGTCCTTGTTGAGGATCTTGGCCATGTTCGCGTTGCTACGTGTGCGCGCGGGAGCGCGGGCGTGCTAGTCGGGGTTGGTGTGCTCCGGGTTTACAGCAGGGCACGCAGGCAGGGCAGCGGGCAGAGAAGTGGAAGGAGGTGCAGCACATGGGCGCGCACGGGAGCACATTTACGCGTGGAGCGTCCTGCTGCGGTTGCCGTGGCGGCGGCTCTCACGACGCACGACGGCGGCGACGACGACGACGACGACGGCGGCGGCGGCGTGCGAAGGCGAGGGCGAGGACGAGGACGACCGCGGGTCGACACGGGGTCGCGACCCGCTCCCGACATCGGGTCGTCTTGTGTCCCGCACCGAAGTCGGCCGGTGGCCTCTTCGATACCTCTCTGTCTCTCGCACTCGTTCTCTCTCCCTCTCGATCTCTCTGTCTCTCTCTCTCACGCACACTCTTTCTCTCTCTCTGTCTCTCTCACGCTCTTTCTCCTTTGCTTCGTTTCTTTCGCACGCACACACGCGCGCACACACTGTCCGTCCTCCTCTTCCTTCCTCTGTCCGTCGACCGCGCACTCGCTCACTCGCTCGCGCGCGCGAAACGAGACGACGATGACGATGACGACGACGACGACCGCGACGACAACGACGACGGCGGCGGCGGCTTTTCCACCGCCGCCCCCGGATTACCCGCTCGCCGCTGCGTAACGGCGTACGACGCTCCGCGTACGGGCGTCCGCGCGCGCGACTCTCGACACGAGGACTCTCGGCGCGCCGCGTGCACGGGAGAAATCGGAATGCGCCACCGGACTGGGCCGATAGTCAGCAGCAGCAGGCGAGCGTACTCGCCGTTTACGCGCGGGGTTGCTGCGCGGCTCTACTCGCTCGCACGGCACACACACAGTACGGGGGTACAGTACAGTACGGGCACAGGCACAGCACGGCACGACACAGTACCGCTCCTCGGCTCGGCTCGGCTCGGTTCCGATCCGCTCCGCTTCGCTCCGTTTCGCTCCACTCTCGGGGCTCGCGAGAGACCGCAACAAACACGACAATGACGGTGACGACGACACGACCACGATGACGACGACGACGACGGCGACGACGACGATGAACGGCGAAGAGCCCTGCTCTCTCTCGCGCTCTTTCTTCCTCTCTCTCTCTCTCGCTCTCGTAGGCCCCGATCGATTCACCTGTCACTTGTCAACGAAACTCACGGGGATTCGTTGCGCCACGCACCCACGCCAGCACTCGGCCGCCCTCGCGATGCCCGGCCAGCTCGCGTAACGCCCCGAATTCGGCCCGCGGCGTTGTCCACACGCAGGCCGGCGGTGAGCGACTCGCGGAGCGCGTATTCACTGCGACCGAGGCGAAGCGCTTGACGTGCGCCCGTATATCAAAATGGCGTCCCGTGCTGCCTCGGCATCCATTGGCGAAGCCACCACGGCCAATTTCCCGTACGCTACCGCCGACGGCCGATCGCTATACGACGCGCGCCGCGACGGCACACCGCGCACCGTTTCCGCTCACCACACGCAAATCCACATACATAAACCACGCGCGCGCGCGCGCACGCGTACACACACTAACTCACCACGCGCGCGGAACGTCGGCACACAGGAGCAGGCGCGCGCGCGCTGACGCCCGAGACGGCGGGCGCTCTCCTCTCTACGTCATTTTACGCGCGGCCACTCCGCGTTTGAAGGAAACCCAGGAGGCCCCGACACCCCGCAACGGCGTGTGTCCCACGACCTTTTTTACCCGCGCGTCGCTGTGCCGTCCGAGTGCCGACGAAAGTCCGAGATCGCACAGTGCATTTTTACTTTCAAAATGGATGAGCGCCCCACCACTGTGCGCGCACGGTTTGAATTAACGTCCGTGCCGAACGCTGGGTGCGCGACCTGCCTCGCGCCGCGGTGCCGCCATCTGTCGTCGCTCGAGCGCGACATCGCGACGCGGCGGAGCCGCGAATGGCGGTCGAATTTGAATGTTTCGACGATTTGAAGCTCGTATATAAACTTCGATCGTTTTCTGTTGCGATCGCAACATACAGAAAATACTTCAGTTTCAGTCGTTTCTCTCTTGGCTCTCCTCTTATTCTTCCAAACGCTGCTTTATCGATGTACAACATATTCATTGAAAGAATCATACATAAACATACATCCTGATATAGCATCAAAAATGAACGTGGTGCGTGTTTGAGCTACATACACTTATCGAGATTGCTGGAATTACAGTAAATAATCAGCAAATAGATCGCAATTTAAAAATACGTCTTATAATTATCATATTCAATTTACTTTAAGTGTAAAGAATGTAATGTACACTATACATACTCTTAAAAAAATTTAATGTTATACTTAAATATTAAATTGAATAGTGATTAAATATACTTATTTTGAATTTTAAAAGCAAGAACTGTGCTTTTGATATAAAGCTTTATTTAATTTATAATTAATTAACTATATGCTAACTGCGACTAACTGCGTGCGTAAAGTAAAAATTAATTAATTAATTAAAGTTATCTGAATAATTAGCAAGCTTTTTATTATAATTACACTTCAAAAGTCTTCACACGAAATATAAACGATTTCATTAATTGTCGATCAAGCTATTTTTTTTTATTTCAAGATATCATTAATTATCGGCTAAGTTCATACAACAAATCGTATACTTATTAAACGTCGTCGCTTTCGCGCTCAACTCGACTACGGAAGTCGACCGTGCGTTCGACGATATTTACGAATCTCTCACGTGCGCGTGGTCGACGACGTCGACGCGAGACATTCGACGGGATAATCCTTGCAAGTGCCAGGATGACGTACAAACGTAAGAAGTATCACAGAGGTGACACGCACTTGAAGAAGGGTTGGCGAACGAAACGGAGAACGAAGGACTTGGACGAGGTGCGAATCGCTTCATCTAACCATAACCTCCACGACACGTGGAGGGTTGGAAGGGTGTTCGAACGTGTCGCGCGGTCACGATCGTCGCTTGCTTAATAACGCGTCTGTAATTTCCAGATCGACGAGGATCTGCAGGAGGGGAACGCGAGGAAACTGTTAAACCAGGAAGTGGACTTCGACAAGCCGGGAGCGGCGCAGCATTACTGCGTGCATTGCGCGTAAGTCCCATGCAGTGTCGCGGCCTAACCTAAAAAGATCGAGTCGAGCACGTAATTAACATGTAGAACTTTGTGCCTTAGAACCCTCAGGACTGGGTTGAAGGCACGTAAGTTCTCCATCCGGGGAACATAACCTCCAAAAAAAGAAAAAGTCGAGCACGTAACAAAATACCAGAAATAAAACAATGTTGCCCAAGATTTGTAATTCTGAACTTGAAGTGCATCGACATTGCTCATTGCCTTCCCTTTTTTATCGTTATTTAAAAAAAAGTATGTAAATAGATGTGAATGTCGAACTACAAACTAATGGAATTAAAAATCTTTGGAACGTATAACAAATCTTTAGGATTGCACTGTTCCGAAAGAAATCACCGCATTGACGGAAAAGTGACAGAAGGTAATTAACATTTTTGAGATAACGAAAGGAAATTGATCCTAAAGGTTTTAGAGTCAATTTTATTCATTATCTCAAAAATGCTGATCTTTTTTACTTGTGTCACTTTTTTCAACGTCGCGAAATGTGTTAAATAATCCTGTCAGATTGAAGCATTCTCGCTAAAGTGAGAAAATTAAAATAAACTAAAAATTAATATGAAGTAATAAATAGTTATTTTAAGTAATGACGCGATAACTTTTACAGCAATGAAATATTTCTACAAAATACCTGAAACGAAATGAATTTTATTGTTAAAACTAACGAAATCAACTCTACTGTTAAAACTAACAGGAAATTTTATTTGATTTCAGGAGGTATTTCATAAACGAAACCGCTCTGCATGCTCACTTCAATACCAAGGTGCACAAACGGCGGTTGAAAGCGCTCGAGTTAGAGCCGTACAGTATCGAGGAGTCGGAAAGAGCAGCGGGTAAGGGAAGTTACGTCACGCCACAGAAGCGAAAAATCGAGACGGTGACACGCGAAGATCTTGATAGAAGGGACGCCGAGCCGGATGCTAAAGTGATGAAAGTAAACGAATAGAGCTATCCTACAGCTCGTTTCGATTCGTATCCTCACTATGACGCGAGAAAGAGTTTAAATTACGACACGATGGCCGGTAACTTGTATAGATTTTCCCACGCTTCGAAGCGTACGTGCAGAACTTTGATGCGCGACGTACGTCGAAGGGGGGCTGCTTTCCTCCCGACGCGCTTCGAGAGGGATTACAGTTCGGCGCTGTACATTTCCGGCAATAAGGCAAGCAAAGCGTTCGCGTATCTGTCGCCGTATCTGGACTGCAGCGAGAGGTTCGCCGATCTGGACAAACTGCGGAAGAATTTGGCGTTGCGCGGGATGGACGTGGACGTCGTTGAATTGAAGGAGGCGTGGAATTTCTTCATACGGACGGTCGCGGACAGATTCGCGTTGGAGGACCACAACAAGGAGCTCACGAATCGCGTGAGAAACCTGCTGGAGAGCGCCGAGCGCACTGCCAAGCAGGAGCAGGAGGTGGCCAAGCTGCGCTCGCAGCTCAAGATCATACGGCAGGATATGAAGACGATGAGGGAAGCGGTCTGGGAACTGGAGGAGAATGTGGTGGAAAGGGTCTTGAGGCTGCCGAACGAGTTGGATCCTAGAACGCCCGCCGGCGAGCCGACGGTACTGAAAAGTGTCGGCGGTGTGCCCGAGATAACGGAAACGGACAGGAGGAGTCACGTCGACATCGGGACGAGCCTGGACCTGCTGGAGTACAAGAATCCTCTCTGTTACTATCTGCACAACGACGCGGCCCTGTTCGAGCTCGTCGCGCTGGCGCACGCGGGCCGAGTCCTCGGCGGGAACGACATGGTCAAGATGATCGGCACGGATTTCGCCCGTAGTTTCCTGGTGGAAGCCTCCGGTTTGAATCACGAGGATCCCACGGCCGCCTTCGTGATCGAGAATCACAACGAGGTCGAGCGAGGCTCGCCGAATCGTATGCATCTCGTCGGCGGCGCGAGCTTGATCTCCCTCCTGGCGTTGCACACGAAACAGCTCGTCAATCCGAAGGACTTCCCGCTCAAGTACTTCTCCACGGGCAAGCAGTACGTGCCCCTGCCGCGGGATTCGCACGCCTGCGGCCTGTTCACGGCGTGCCAGGCCTCCGTCGCGCACGCCTTCGTCGCGGTGAGGGACGCGAGGAGCGCGGAGTACGCGGCGTCGTTCGAGGAACTGCTGGAGACCGTGTGCAGGCTGTACGACGATCTGTGCGATCACTATCGCGTCGTCGTGCGTGCCGCGCCCGAGTTGCGGTCCTGCGAGGAGATGCGCGTATCCTTCGAGATGTGGTCGCCGTTCTTGAACCGATACGTCGAGATCGGTCACGTGTCCACGTACGGCGATTATTTGAGCAAGAGATTACTGATCGCCTATCAAACGCCCACCGGCAGGGACTTCCCCGCGGTGATATCGGGCACCGTTCTCTCCGTTCCGCGTCTGCTGGCTTGCCTGCTCGAACAGAATCCCGACAGGTTTGCGATTCCGATAAAGATTGCCGAATTTGTACCGTCGAACGATCATGTTACTTCGTGAATTAATCATGAATTTGTTCTTATGTTATTTTATTTTGTAAAAAAAGTTAGGCAGACTTTCCAAGTTAACAGAAGGATCAATGCTGCCATCAAATGTATTGGAGCAATCGATTGTTGAATTAAAACACGAATTCGTAAGAACTCGAATAGGCGATATTTTTAGACCAGAATATGTCAGTAATGTATAGGAAATATATACACAGTAATACCTAGATCATTTGGTTTTTCGATAACATCAACGATATTCTATATTATTACTAGGTCGCTATTCCACGAGGTACCGCTCGACGTAGTGTAAAGCCTCGAAGGCGACCTCCACCATAATAAGTACGATAATCATCCACTCCAAACGAACGTGATGGCGGTCGCTCAAGTGCGACGACAAAATGCTCACCAGCTCCAAGCAGTGATTTAATCTCTCGTTCATCACCTGTACAACAAGTAAATACAAATATAAATACGAGAGCTACAAAGGTCACGTAGAAGACAACAAAATGTGGATTGGTTAGATACCTACTTTCGTACGTTTCGCGATGCTGAAATATCCGCAGGTCTGTTGGTACAAGTTCTCCAAGTCGTCTCGTTCCCAGTAGAAATCCGGTGTATCCAACAGATCCGACGTCAGGTTGATCCGGTGTCTGAGGGCGAACAGTTCGCCCTGTTTCTTCAACACCTCGTGCTGTGACATCTGAATCCGCTTGCCCGCTCTTAGATCCTCCGTAACGAATTCGATCGAGTCGACGTAGCGATTTAACGACGCCTCCCATATGCCTAACTTGACCGACTGTGCCATGGCATTGGAGAACGTGTACTTGTCCAAATTCCCCGCTTCCTGCGCCAGAATGATATCGCCATCCTTCAAGTGGCTCCTTTTCCTGTTAGATTACGAGAATTACTAAATTTTGTTACATTCATCTGTCTAATTTCTTTACAAATTTTGACGTGGAGTCGGTAAACGTAAAATTATTTAACGAAACAAAAAGCAAAAATACCCGGGATCCGCATAGGCATAATTCATTAACTCGCTTTCGGTATAAACCAGCTCCTCCACATAACGATTTTGCTCGTAGCGTCTCAAAAATTGCAATAGGTTGCCGCACTCGAGGTCAGAAATATTCCACATAACAATGCTACCTTCTCGGAAGAAAAAGATCTCTCGCGGTTCGTGCCCCACTTCATACTTGGCCACCGCGTGTATAACATCGGGTAAAGCTGCAAAAGAGAAAGCAGGTACAGAAATTAAATTTTAATTAATTTCATGATCTGGAAACATAATGGAGGAAAGGTCTTATTTATTTTAATAAATAAATAAAAGATTTTTTTATTAGTAAATAAATGCATTTAATTTCAATATATTTGTTACATATGTTTACGAGTATAGATAGCGTACAAAAAAGGGCCGAGATCTCGGAATACCGGTCTCGAAAAATATAAAAATAAGTTTTTATCAAAAACTGTTTCAGATAAAAGTTACAATTACAGTTTGAAAAGATCTATTTACTGATTTTATTCAGTTTAACCTTGGCGTCACCAAGGTATTTACATTTGTGTATTTACGAATATAAGTGGACCTAAAATTTGAATAACATTCAACAAAAATAATTTAAATAACAAATAATTTAACAGTATTTAACTTATGAATAAAAGTACTAATAATAAAGTACATTACTTTGAAACAGGAATAATAACATAATATAGCTACACAACAATTATAGTTTTTACGAGACAATTAATTTCACGCATCAGTCGATTAAGAACGGACTGTCGCAAGCACCTAGACCGGTCGCCACACCGCCTTCGTTGTCAGTGGATAATTTTGTTCTTAACATGTGACCAGCTTGCCTGTTCACTATAATATTCTGATCGTCTCCAATGATAACGCCGAATATGCCCAACTCCGAGACCAGCTCCTTCGTCTCTAAATTACTATTTCCATTCCCATATTTCACAGTATAGTTTCTGTGCACCGGTGGATAAATCCGATCCATAAGAATCCAGGCTACTCGGGTCTGGTCAGATTTCACAGATTCCAAAAAATTTTTGATATCCGTCCCGTACAAGTTATTGCAGCCACCTTCTCGCTGCGGCTTCAACACGAAACGCTGAGGATTCGAAATGCCCATTTCTACAGCGGCGTCCCCGTATTCGTCAAACTCCAGCGGATAAAGGCCTTAAACAAAAAAAATCATTTTCGTTCGTACATGACTTTACATATGCAATTAAATATAATAATATTAATATTGCGATATCAAAATACTGGCAAATATCTTTCTGTAAACTTATTTCAATATGTAAGAAAGCAATCACTTACCTGTGAATACTTCTTTGACTTTCGCCGCCGTCTTCTCGTCCTTCAAGAAACGCGCAACCATGCCGGGCTTGGCGAGAGTTTGTTGAACCTTCTTTGTACCGGCTAAGTGATACTGAATGCTCGGGCATTTAATTGCCAATGATCTCTCGATCAGCAGTCTCGCGTCCCATTCTTTTTGGGCGTGATACTGCCCGGGCTCGTAGCCGCTTCTGTAGTAAACAACCGCCACGACGTAATTGTTCACTATTAGCTCCTTGTTGGGACCCAGTTTCGCAGCGGCCGCCAATTGCGTTAGACTTCTGCGAATTACTTTTACATTCGGATTCTGCTTGCGTATCTCGTACTCGTGGAAACGTTGATCGCAAATGTTATACGTAACATCTTCGATAACAAACAAAATAACTGCTCTGCAAACAATTGTGTCTTTGAATGTGAGAAAATTGAAATAATATTACTCGAACGATAACATAAACTAATATAATAACAGTTGATAGAGTAAATAACATTGGAGACGAAAAATAAATCTGTAGAAATTCCAAACGTACTGTGGATCGCCATATAAGTTCCATGCTTCTAATAAACCCGAACAAAGTGCTTGTAGAGCATTATTTTCAGGAAGGTTTTTCAGCTCGGCCGTGTAGCCGAGCTCCTGCAGGACAAACTTGTGTAGCTGCGTGGACGCGGGTCCTAGCCAACCGAATCCAGAAGCGATTGTATTTATCTCGACTTGCTTCCAGCAGCAGTGAGACTTGAGTATTTTAGTGTCTTTCCTCGGACAGCTTGTGTCTAGCATTAGATCCGATCGCAGCATGCCGAGAGATATCTTCTGAGCAGCCCCTTCCTCGTGAATGATCTCGTAGATATTGAACAAGTTTCTGGTAAAATCGTCCACCTTTACAGTCTCATGCAACGTATCTTTCAAAAATTCGTAATCATGAGCTACTCTGTGTATGAGTGCATTCAAAATGATCTGGATATCACAGGCGTTGTAAAACTCCTCTCGGGGGAATGGCGATGGAAAAAGCGCGAACGGCGCGAATTGCAGGACGTCTCTGTCAAAATTTTTCTTCGATCTCAAGCACACGCCATTCATAAGAGCCCAATCCTTTGCTTTATCTACTAATTCCTCCAATTTTTCTTTTGGCAAATCCAATGGGATAGGCAGTTCCATTGTCGCTGGCTTGTCCTCCTTTACTTTTCCAAGTTGAACTGTGCTTTATGCTTCTAATTTCCAAGTATGGAGTACACAATTATTATTTTATTTTGATATTTTATTTTATTTTATTTTATTTTACTTTGCGTTTCCAATTAGAGCATCAGAATTCGTTTTTTTGAAATCTCTTTGCAAAATATGGTATACAGACATGGAGTCTTGTTATATTAGATCAATGACCTCATTGTTTGTTTTGTCTTGTCGGTATTATGCACGAAGATAAGGCATTCCTCACAACAAAAGATATGTGAGAATTAGTAATAAAAATTATAATCACTTCACTATTATTTTATTATGCCTAGTTTATTATATCATTTCGTGAAATGATTAATTACATGTAGTTATTTATCTATATTGATAATACCAATCAGATATCGATCATTCTTCGGATAGAACTACGCGAAACTTGTATATAAGCACGTAATCACAAGTGATGTACCAACCGGCAACTTCCAGCAGCTGATAGCAACTGATGAGTCTGATGAGTCTGCTCTTTATATACATGAATGACTAATGAATGAATCAAACCGCAGACAATGTTAAACTGGAAAGAGTAATATATCCGGTGACGCGCAAAAACTCACGTCACCTCGAGCAAAATAAAATTACGAGATCTCGTGAAATCTCGCGCAATCGCTTACACTCTTTACATCATTGATGTTTCGCAAGAAAAAAAAAACTGAAATTAAAGTTCTAGAAAATTGAATTGAAGATACTTACGATTAGTTGATGTAGATATTTTATCAGGAATATATAACTGTTGATCCAACAGGCCGTAAGCTAAGGTTTCCAAATCATATTCCTCAGCAGTGGTTAATGCTTTTACGGACCATGCCTGATAAATAAATCTCTTTCGTATATATTGTTCATTTGCTATAACGACATAACTTAAAAATTATCAATTAATTGCTTGCAAAAAGAAACATAAAAAACGGATAATTATTTAAAAAACGTACTTTTATTCTACTATTCTGCAATTATTATATCAAAATTGCATTTCAATTAATTTCAAAATTACTATTCTTTTAATTTCAAAATATTACAAAATTTTAACGGTTCCACAAAACGTTTATTCAAATTCATTTTCTGAAAAATCTTGTTTTTTTTTTTTAGGATGTCATGGCAAATGAATAATACGTTTACTTTCTTTTTTCTCATTACAAGCTTTTGAGGGGTGCAACATTCCAATTCTTCATGTAACAAACTTACATTAGACTTTGGAGTCTTGTCGTCCTTTATAACAACTCTGCTTCTTCTGGCCGGTCTCTTATTCATTTGGAACGTGGATATATCATCTGTCACGCTAATTCCACTTTCCTTTGGGTTAATTCTTTCCAATTCTCTTAAAATCGTAGATTCGTGAAAAGGCCTCTTGTGAATTACGCACGCGTGACATACAGATGATCCCGCCTCTGTCACCGCCGTCCTTTCTCGCAAAACGCTCAAGCTCGGCAGTAAAATCCTTCGGTACGCGTCAATATCGACTTTACCTCTGCAGCTTGATATCGCAATCCTTTGAATCATTGCGAGACTCATTTTACCAGGTTTTTAATTATTAAAAGTACGTCTACGATATACTTTTAATATTAATATATACACGCTATCTTTGCGCATACAAATTACATTTGTGCAAATACCTCTCTCGGGGTCTTTAAACAAAAAGGAAACTTGGGTTAACATTTACAACGCGCGCACGGACAACGCCATTTTGCGACATAAAGCGTTTATTCGCTGATGAGTAACATTTTTCAAGTTAACATTTTACTACCGGTCGCACATTGTCATTTAAAAATGCGTATGTCATCCTTACGTGTTGCATCACACCGCACGTTTCGTCCGAGATAAGCTGAGGTTATGTTATCGTGGCCAAACGTAGGTTATGTTACGTTTTATTGACAAACGTTACAAACAAGAATCTTCGGTTCACCCTGCAGTTCGCGTGTGTCCACAACGAACGAAGCGATTGGCCGCGTGGCGCCGGTAAACCCACGTGCTTGTCAAGTTGGCAGCTTCGATCGAACTCCGACCGACTCCGAGTTGCTCCGAATCGTGCAGCTCGTGCAGGGCCGTTTAGGTGTCCAAACTGTATGTTCCGAGGCTTATCGGAATACAACCCGGTGTATATAGCATCGATCAGTGATTTCTTTTTTTCATTTTAAAGTTAAATCGTCAAAGGACATAATATAAAAAATGAAATGCAGTATAAAAAATTGCAAAAGCTACAGCAAATCAGGATGTAATGTACATTTTTTCGGGTAAATAATATTTATTTGCAACGGCGAGGTTAAGTCAAAAGATACGTCAACATTTTGACTATGTTCCAAAATTCACTGCCACTGTTATTACTAAAAATTTATAATGCACGTAACGTAACCTGATAGATTTTTAACACTGGCAGTGAATTTTGAAATTGAAATTTGGAATTACATGTATTGAATATACTGTATTGTATTTATTAAAAATCTTAATATATTGCGAATAATAAAATGTGTATAAAATGATGTATAAATTTGCAATTGTATACATTATAATTTAATAATGCCAATATAATGACATCAATTTTAAATCGTTGAAAATATATTTTATATAAAATGTCGTAGGTTTCCTCTAAACGATGAAAATTGTTTGGACAAATGGATTGTCGCTGTCGGAAAACCAAATTGGAAACCGAAAAAAACAAGTAGAATTTGTAGTCTGCATTTTAGCGAAAGCGACATTATACAAAGCATGGGATATCATCGTTTTAATTTGCGTAAAAACGCAGTACCGAACGAATGTTCTTCGACTGTCGTGGAAAGAGAAACGACTAATGCTCCAATGTCAAAATCAGAAGAGGTCTGCAATGCTGTAAACATTAGTGACAATGAAACCAGTGTCTTGGACAAAAGTGCGACATGGGATAACAGTTGTTTGAACAATAACGTTAGCACTGCGACCGAAAATGATGGATCAAGTACATTTGACGCTCGAGATCCAAATCAATCGGCTCAAAAAGCAATTTCTCACCTAGGAGATAAAAAACACAGCCTTACTCAAACTGATCCACAAGAGATGAATGCTACAAGTATCAGCAATTCTGTAAACTCTAGTGAAGTTTATGTCCTGTGCAAAAATGCTGCATGGGATCACGACTATTCAAAGAATGTTCTATGTGATGTTGCCACTACCGAGCATGATGGATCGAGCATACGCGGCGCTCAAAATTCAAATCAAGCGAGGGCAGGCGAGCGAAGGACAATTGTTAATCCAGTTCAAACGTATAACATTATTAAAATTGGTTCCAAAGATGTTGTTGTGCCAGTTTCGTACAGTTCGACTGATCCCGACTATAAAATAAGGAAGGAAGATTATGTTAATGCTACAAAAAAGATAAATGAATTATCGAAGACTGTAAAGGATATGAAGCTAAAGAATAGAACGTTACAGCAGAAGTTGAGAAGATATAACGAAAAAGTTACTTTAATAAGAGAGTTGTTTGATAGATTGGAAGAGGAGAAGCTGATTTCGGGCGATGCTTTGCAATTGGTAAAGAAACAGCTTGAATATCTTACGTTACGGACTTATAAAAATAAAGTTAAAAACAAAGATTAACTGAAGAGAATAGAAACTGAGGAAAAAACTAATAGTCAACGTTATACGGACGAGGTAAACAAAATTTGTTTTGTCGATACTATACAGAGTGTGCCACAAGTCTGGAACGTTAAAATAACTTGAAGGGTCCAAAGTATAGAATTGAAATTTACAGGCATACAATGAGATAATAAAATCTAGTATTTAATCCAGGAAACACCGGTCTTAACACCGGGAGGGGGAAAGGGGAGCCGGAAAATCTTAAACGGCATGCAGGGTCGAGTGAAGGCTCGTTTGAAACCCCCCCGCTATTTAAGATTTTCCCACCTCTCTCTCTCTCCCGAGGATGTTAGAGATGAAGACGTTTTCCAAGATTAAATAGATTCCGAGACTGATAGAATTTATTATCTTATTCCTATAAAGTTTAATCCTTCGAAGTTATTTTTGCATTTCCAAACTTGACATATCAATTATAAACATACTCAACGAATTTATCACTAAATAATATACATATATGGGCAATTCTAATAATGCGTATACTTTTTTAAACAGCAAAAAATTACATTATACTTTGAATCGAACAATTAATATACAGCTAAATATGCTTTAAATAGTTGCATGTAGTGTTCCATGATATACATATTGTTAAAAATAAAAAATTAATTTCTAATTTGTTTCATTAATAAATGAAGCAATAAACATTGATCTGTTTCATTTGTATAATAAAAAATATTTTATTTGTAGGGCATTGTCCAAGTCGCCTGCGTCATCAACCCTTAGAATATTATTACTATCTATAACTGATGCCTAGTTTTTATGATGATGCTTTTCTCAGAGTTGATGAAACTTTCGCCGGAAGATTGTCGACATTGCAATCTCATGTTTGACTCGTGTGGCACTTCAAAAGCAATTAATTCTCAAAAACAACAGGATGATAGGTACATCTATTATGTGTAAATATGAAATAGAAAAAGAAACAGAAATAACAGACAAATTTTTGTTGGAAAGGTTTTGTGAAAGCTTCTTAATTACAAAACTTTATTAAAGTTTTAAAAGAAGACATATGTTTTTTAAATTTTTTAATTTTTTCGAATCTTATGTACAAACATTAAATTATCAGAATTACCACATAAATTACAATTTATACATTTTATCATATAATATGACATGTGTACTTGTGTGCCTCGTACAATAAATTTTATGCACAAAAAAAGTTCTTAATTTTCGAAGAAAATATCGTATGATTAAGCAAATATTTTCCAGCAAATAAGAATTTTATAAGTTTTTGTAAATTCTCTGTGCAATAATAAAATAAATAAATAAAGTTTCAGTTTATCAAGCATCAGAATTCTCGTATGCCTTATGTGATAATTTAACTTGGCGTTGCTTGAAACCCTCAACAATTTTTGCTCTTGATATAAATATTCGTTGGAGAAAGAAAATGCAAGGAAAAGATACCACTTTACATCATTTTTGTCATTTTACAACAATACCGCCAAACGTCAGGGGGCGTTTCAGTCAAAGTTCTAGCAACAAGCTGCGCTGACCGGAAGTGGCGTCGTTTAACCTCTCTTGTGCTTTGCACGTGGAACGTATAGACGTACTGGTTCAGCGCTGATCAGTTTTACTCTGTACAAATTGGTTATCTCGGCCAGTACTAAAAATCAACCATGGTAAGTGATTCGGATAGCATTAATTAACGATTAGACAATTATCTTTGCTCTATCGGCTATACATTCGCGTTGAACGAGTCATATCGAGTCCTGAGTTAGGTTAAGCGTCATCACGGAATGGGACGCGCTCAAATCTAAACAAATACGTGATGTATTTTCGCAAATAATTTAAAAGAAACACACGAAATTGTTATAAATGGCCTACGAATATTTTTATATATTACGTGTGTTTGTAAAAGAATTAACATTCTTTTTTTATTTTTCAGGCCACGACCAAGGTCGATAATCCTGAGAAGCCAGGACAGGAAGTCACTCCGATTCACCGTATAAGAATCACACTCACGTCACGCAATGTTCGTTCCCTCGAAAAAGGTGAGTAGACTCAAAAGTTTGCTTTGCCAAAATTATAAAATTAAATTCCGCAAATTGCATTGTATATTGATACAAAATTTACTAAATTCAATTTTATATATATTCTCTAAATTATTTTAATTTTATATATATTGATACAGTTTTTATGAATCTAATACAATAAATAACTCGATTGTGGCTTGTTTTAGTGTGCGCCGAGCTGATCAACGGGGCAAAGAAGCAGAAATTGAAGGTCAAAGGACCCGTTCGCATGCCAACGAAGATCCTGCGAATAACAACTCGCAAAACGCCCTGCGGTGAGGGCTCGAAAACCTGGGATCGCTTCCAGATGCGAATTCACAAGAGAGTGATCGATTTGTATTCGCCATCAGAGATTGTGAAACAGATCACAAGCATTTCCATCGAGCCCGGCGTAGAGGTGGAAGTGACGATCGCTAATGAATAAACTTTGTCAGTAAAACTATGAGGTTTTAATAAAAATACTAAAAAGGAAACCTAGAAACATCTATTGATACATTTACAAACATCTCTTATATAATTTATTAATTTGTCGTTCCCATAGTTTTAACATTCAAATTCGGAGCACCTTGTATAAACATAGAATTATATAAACCAAGAACGAAGAACTTGATACACGTTTTAACACCAACTATTTAAGATTTTTAATGTTTTCTAAATCAAATTGCATACCACTATTAACGGACGACATCGAATATTGTCATAAACGGACAATTGGAGTAATGCTTGGAGTTCCCTTTATGTCAGAAATAAGAACACCTGTCTTAAGATCATTTATTGTATATCAAGTCAGTAGAAAACTTTCATCTCTATTTATAAATTACAATGCTTGATTTTTTACATCTTTTATTTTCATATATTTATTGAAAAACTGTGCTGGCATGTCCAACAAAAGGCAGTAGAACATTTTATTACATTCTAGCTGCAATTGAAAAACGCATGCGAATATCTGTCGGTTAATCAAATGTGTATTTTTATTACTCTCACAAATATATATAAATATATATATATTTTTCTCAATTGTCTTCCTCTTCAGACACATCATCATCTTCTTTGTCGTTCTGGTCTATGGCTTTGCCGTTCTGTTCGATACCTTTGCTGTTCGGCTCGGCTCCTTCGCCACCGCTAAAATCGCCCTCCAGCCCTTCCACCTCTTCTTCATCGTCGCCAGCAACCTCCGCATTCTCGAGTTCCGCTCGTTCCATCTGTCGCGCCAATTCTGCCTCGTCCGTCGCGGTAACGACTTTTGGCTAATTTTTGCGAAAAAGAAACACGGTACAGTCTCTTTATTATAGTACGCGAAAAGGAGTTAAATGAACATATGCTCATCCATGAAACTTACTGCCATTTGAACATTGAATACACCTCCGAGCGACGTTATTTTATCCTGTATGACTTCGATCGCGTCGCCTAACGCCTTTAAGCCGTCCTGTTTTTCCGGGGTAGATGTCGTCATAACTGAAAATGATTATTTAATAAGAAACAACATCATATCTTAACGGACGATATATATGATCAATTTGAAAGACGATGTAAAAACGTACCGTACAAGGGTGGAGCGATTAAATTAATTTTTATGGGAAGTTCGTCGGTGGAAAGAGCTAAGCCGGCCTTCAGCGCGGTCTTGACAGCATCGATCCCTTCGTATCCGTAACACGCCACTTCCACATCCGCTCTAATTTTGACCGCTTGCGACGTGAGCTTTCGCTTGATATTATTTAACAGTACTTCCTTCGTGTGCTCGTCCAAGCCACATTCTGCTAAAATAGAGGGATCCCTGAAAGTCGTGTTCATAAATATATCTCCGGATCTCCACCGAAACGTGTATCTCGCGTCCGTACAACGCCGGTGTTAGAGTCTGCTTACAATACTGATTGTTTGAAAAAATCGTAAGCGGACGCCTTCTGTTTCTTGTACTTTTCCTCAAAGTGCCAGGCCGTTTTCTGATAGAGTTCCTCCAGCTGGTCGTCGTTATCGTAGTGCAACAATTCCGCCACGTGTCTCAAAATCGAATTAACAGCTTTAGCTTTGGCGTATCTCTCCGTGCACTTTTCCACGTCCTCGGCGGATACACGACGCTTGCTCAGATCGATGTAGCCTAGAACCCGCGATTTACGCATTTCATTGCGAATTATAGACCAATGTAAATCAATGACTACATTCAGAAAAAAAATGCAACTTTGCAACTGCAAGATTTTTTAAATATGTGACATACTTAGATCAGATCAATACTATATATTTAGATCCGTGAAATGCTGAAAGCAAAAAATCAGTTTATACATTTAGATCAATAAAAAACCAAGAGCAAGAGCAGATCATGTTAAAGAATCTTGTAGCAGTTACATAAGCTGCTTTCTCTGCTGAAAACAGAAACAATAATAAAACAAGCAATCACCTTTCTCCTTATCTACACGAATGACGACCACCGGCTCCGTTTTGCCTACTCGGATAAGTTTGTTGATGGACCTAATACGTCTCCTGGAGAGCTCGGACAGCAGGATCATGCCTTCGATGTTGTTGTACTCCAGCAGATGGACGTACGCGCCCATCTCGGCTATACTGCGCACATTCACCATCACCACGTCCTCCACCTCCGGATACTTTTCCTTGTAAAATCGACACGACAGCACCATGCTTTTTGCTGAAAGCACGCCCAAGATTGTACAATACGGCGACGTCGAAGTGCCCGACACCCCGATGACAACGTGACAAGCACAAGAAACGGTATTTGGCAAGGATATGCCATCGACAATCCTGAGAAACGTGCGAAGTTCTCAGTCGAGGCGTTTATTGAAAAAATACGAATGATAGGTTAACTTGCAGGTTAGTAACGTCTGGAGGAAAGTTGGTAAAGGATATATCGAAATCGCGTTCCGATCGTTACCTAAATAATTAATACTCGCGCCAAGATGAATCCTTCCCTTATCCGTACGAGCGGACTGAGCTCAGAGCTGTAAAAGGTCTCGGCCACGCGAAACTTGTCAATAATCCATGTGCAATCTTGTCTGGAGTCAAGCCCACAAAGCGCTGTGTTCGACCATAACCTAACTTGTCCGTGACGTTGACTTCAGGTCACTGTTTTTATGAAGAGACGTCGCCAACCGTAGTTCATTGAACCAGAATTGAACTGTGCTCGTCCTTTTCGTTCCCATTTTTTTAGCGAAACGATAGCGTATAAATCTCGCGTTTTAAAATGCGATAAAAAGTCGCGAGAAAATAAATGAGAAAGTATCTGATTTTTAAAGTCAAAGATTTATTCAAATTATTCAGAATTGTTCATAATAATTTGATTTTCCATTTAGTGAATCGGCGATAAATTCAATCAGGAGAATTGCTTGCGCAAAATTTCTAACTGCAACGTGCTGTTCGTTATCTAATCCAATTCAATCTAATCTATTAATAGAAGATTAATAATTCTATGTTGCAACAACAACAGCTATATAATTCTTGATAAATTAATCGGCGATTTAAAATTTATATCGAAGTCATCACGAGAGTCAAAACGATATGGCCTTTCGATTTCAGGGCCGACGATTGGCTGTCGGCGAGTGGCGACGAATCTGTGTGGACGGGCCTTAACGATTCGTTTACACAGGATATATGTAACACACTCCAATGACAATCGTTTTCGTGTGCGAGGAGGAGACTGGAGGAGAGGCCCGATACACCCGTTGATCACGGCGCGCGATATGTCACGATCAGGTTAGAGGACGGGGGAGCGAGCGACGGACGAGTTATGACGACGATGATCAACAACGACGGCGGCAACGACGACGGCAGCGTGACGAGGATGACAGCGGCGCGCGTTGCCGCGAGCCGCGCGTAGTCCCGGACGGGAGAATCTCGGACTGTCGCGCGCGCGAGAGAGAGAGAGAGAGAGAGAGCGCGAGGGAACGCGAGGTCGCGAAAGCGTCTCACCTGCACTCCCCGCTCCTCGCTCCTGGAGGAGTGCACCAGCGCGTTTCGACAACCTCGTCATCCGTAGGTAGGAAGAGGATCCTCCGCGACGGCGATTCGCTCCCTTTCCTGGGTAAGAGAGAGAGCAGGAGGAGAAGGTAAGGATGCCGCTGGTCGTGAGGAACTGCCCGCATCTGGCCAACCGCGGCGATCTCGCCTTCATCGAGGCGGTGATGGCCCGGGAGGAGCGCTTCGTCAAGTGCAGCGACTGCGACACCCCGGGCCCGAATCTCTGGCTCTGCCTCTTCCCCGACTGCCGCTGGGTCGGCTGCGCGGAGACGCATCTCGACCACAGCACCATCCACAATCAGAACTTCCCGGCGCACTGCGCCCACATGAATCTATCCACCAACCGGATCTGGTGCTACGCGTGCAAGAGCGAGGCGATCGCCAAGCACGTGCCCTCACCCCCGCTGTCACCTACGCAAGTGGAGTTCAAGACCATGGGCAAGTTCGCCGGGGACGCTCCCGGTGGCGTCGAGTCCAAGCTGGATTGCCTCGACAGGTTGATGTTTGATAAGTAAGCGAATGGACAAGTAATAATTTTAAACAACAATGAATGACAGTATGTGAAATATAACGCAATTAAATAGGGAAATGCTTTTTTGGTCTGAGCTAGATCTTCATGTTTAGTAATGTTTCAGTATTACTTTGTATACATACATATTCAGTTCTGTAAACTGCGCGCCGATTTAATTTTCAGTTCTTGAAATGTTAATCCTAAACTGAAATAGAAAGAGTAATATTACAAATTAAATTGACAAGCAATTTAATAATATTAATCTTAAAACACTGCAAAAAATTTATTGCGAGAAGTCATTTTATCTTAAAACATTAGAAACCTATGTAAAACTTTTAATGCTGAAATAATTACTTACATATTTCTTATAAAGGTTTTCTAAAATACTAAAAGTTTTAGTCTTGAATATCGTAATCTTATAAAGATTTCTATTGCCAAAATAATTATTTGTACATTTTTATTCTAAAACGAATTGTGTTGAATTGTTGAATTAAAAACAGTTTTTAAATCTCTAGAATAGAAATCTCTCAGAACTCAGTGATTGATATGATCTTATGAATAATAATTAATTGATTTTATTTACATTTTCAGATTTATTCTATGTAAATACTGCCTTGACCATAAGTACAAAACATTCCCGCAAATTAAAGTAGAATCTTTACATTCTACATCTAACAAAAAATAAATTGGACAGTTTTATTGAAAAATATTTATTTTTATAACAATTTTAATATTTTGTTATAAAAATAAATATTTCCTTTTATTACCATCTTTTCCAAGAAAATGCAATAAATTGAAAGTATATTATATTTATGGCCAAGACTTATGTCCGTGCGAGTATGAATTAAATTAAGTTTAGAACTATGATTCTAGAAAAAAGACACATAACGTGTTTTTTTTTTGTTAACAGATTTTACGGAGATTGGTCATCATCACCATTAAATAGAATCAATTCGGAGAAAGGAAATTCTTTTAACGAACGATCCGGGGATTCTCCCGATAGTACAGACTCGGACGAGAGCAAGGACTTTTCCGGGAAGCCGAGAGGTCTGGTGGGCTTGCAGAACATAGGCAACACGTGTTACATGAACGCAGCACTGCAAGCCTTATCCAACGTGTCTCCCTTGACTCAGTTCTTCTTGGATTGCGGCCACATGGTCAGTTACATGTCGAAGGACAGGAAACCCGGGCTGAGTCTGAACTACCTAAATCTCATTCGGGATATGTGGAACAAAAAGACGAGAGGATACGTCGTGCCGCACGGTATCCTGTCCGGCATCAGGACGGTTCATCCGATGTTCCGAGGATACCATCAACATGACACGCAGGAATTTCTCAGATGTTTCATGGATCAACTACACGAGGAGCTGAAGGAGCATATCGAGGACGACAGGGACATTCAGTTGCGGCTGAAGGGACTGGGGGACCAGTCCTCGGAGGACGAGGACGAGACTGAGATTGACGGCAATGCGTCCAGTCAGTCCGACGCCGAATACGAGACTTGCGACTCGGGTGTGAGCGAACAGAGCTCCTTGAGCGACGAGGGCGAACGCGGCACGAAGAGACGGTACTCCCGCGTGTCGCAGACGGAGAAGTTGCGGAACAAGTTCACGAGCAGGAGCATGAAGAAGTCGAACGTCGAGCCGACGTTGCCGTTCGCGCCGCCGCAACGCTCGCCGCAAAACTCGCCGGCCAAGCATCGCACTAAAAAACAAATGAAGACACGCAGCATTATCAGCGACACGTTCGACGGCAAGCTTCTGAGTAGCGTGCAGTGCCTGACGTGCGATCGAATTTCCACTCGGGTGGAGACCTTCCAGGATCTGTCCCTGCCCATCCCGAGCAGAGATCACATCGACATGCTGCATCAGGGTTCGCTGACGCCGCAGAAGGCCGGTCCGTGTTCCGATGTGGTCTACGTGACGAATCAGTCGGGCTGGCTGTCGTGGTTCCTACAGTGGATGCGCTCGTGGTTCTGGGGACCAGTAGTCAGTCTGCACGACTGCCTCTCCGCATTTTTTAGCGCCGACGAGCTTAAGGGCGACAACATGTACAGCTGCGAGAAGTGCAACAAGCTGCGCAACGGCATCAAGTTCTCCAAAGTCTTGGAATTGCCCGAGATACTGTGCGTGCACCTGAAGAGATTCCGCCACGAGCTGATGTTCAGCTCGAAGATCGCCAACTACGTGTCGTTCCCCCTCGAGGGCCTTGACATGCGGCCCTATCTGCACAAGGAGTGCGTGTCCAAGGTCACCACTTACAATCTGATATCGGTCATCTGCCACCACGGCACGGCCGGCGGCGGCCATTACACCTGTTACGCGCTGAATCCCATCGCCAACAAGTGGTACGAGTTCGACGACCAGTGCGTCACGGAGGTGTCGCCGGAAACGGTGAAGCACTGCGAGGCGTACGTGCTGTTCTACAAGAAATGGTCGCCGGAGATATTGCAGCTGCGCGACAAGACCATGGAGCTGATGGAGATATCGTCCCGCGAGGTGTCCGATCTGAACTTTTTCGTGTCCCGCCAGTGGATCAACCGCTTCAACACGTTCTCCGAGCCCGGCCCGATCGACAACTCCGACTTCCTGTGCCCGCACGGCGGAGTGATCCCCGTTAGGGCGCAATTTGTCGACAAGATCAGCATGCCCATACCGCAAGCAGTTTGGGAATACTTGTACAATGCGTAAGTCTCTCTGACTGCAATAATATTATTACTTTTTTTAAATTGCATTTTTATATGCATATTTATGTCTCTAATATTCTCATTTCTTTTCTCAGATTTGGAGGCGGCCCAGCCTGCACGCATCTGTACGAGTGCCCGACCTGCGAAGAAAAGTACGAATCCTTGCAGAAGCGCAGACAGTACGAGATGGAGCTGTTTCAACGGCTGAACACGGACAATCCCACAGCCATTTATGCGCTGGCTATGGCATGGTTGAGACAATGGCAGAGCTTCGTCCGAGGCAAGGAGACGCAGCCACCAGGACCAATCGATAATAATTCCATCGTTGTAAATAAAAACGGACAAAATAGTCTTAAAGTCGGTAAGTCTTTGTATCTCGATGAATAAGTAATGCTCACCAATGCAGATTAACTTTAATTTCGATTTAACTTGCTTAAAATCTTTCTCTGATTCCGAGAATTATAGAAAAAGATAAAGAGATAAAGAGCAAGTTAAACGGAGATTAGAGTTAATCTACAATGATAGAAACAAACAAGTGTTCTGTAATTAATTCTATCTCGATAATTTATTATCAAATTGTAATCGTCAAGTTATAAAAAAAGTTATTTTATACGTTTTATTTATTTCTTTTTTACATGTACATATTCCCCTTTCTTGCAGGCTCGGATTACGGCCAGATCCCCGAAGAATTGTGGCAATTCTTCCTGACTACGTATGGCGGTGGACCAGAGCTAATGCTGCACTCATGTCAACGACCGGTGCCCGCTCAGCCTAACGTTTCTATACATTCCGCGTCGAATCCAAATTTGATAGATCCGAATCTTAAGTGCAATCGCGTAGAAGCTAAGTCCAACAAACTTTGTACGACCAGGAGCTCGGAGACGATCTCGCAACAGGACAGCGCGATCGAGAGCCTAATTTCGAGCAGCGACTCCCATCAAACGCAGAGGGACGTGAGCGAGTGAGTAATGCCGTGCGAATCGCGATTTCGCAAGTCTCGTTCGCCACCCGACGAACATTTCCATTGGTTTTCCTTAAGTTTAGTCTCGTAAGTAAATCAAATTAATTCTACTTTTTTCGAAATTTCACGCTTTTCGAAGTTCCACGCCTGAACGATGCTCGGCGATTCTTGTTAGATCTTTACAGACGAGACAGTCTCTCGATATTTTGGAAATAAAACAATCACTGTCGCTCGAAGATGAAAAGACAATCGGACACTTTTGTACACCAGTAGCGATTTTTGTACGAAATTTGTAAAACTATATTACGTGCCGTCGCGTGCTGATATTTGAAGGTATTGAAGTCTCAAAAAGAGGGACTCTATACATATGAGTACATGTTGAATGACTGCGTTTTTGCGATAATATATCTTGACGGTAATTGCATCTAAAATCAAAATATATAGCGACATATTAGTCGCTTGCTTGAAAGAACCGAGGGCAGAACGTTTGTTGTCTCTTAGTTCGCTATGTAATAAGAGAGCACCGAGGAATGCCGTGCTCGAGCATACGGCACCTCTTTCCAAATCAAATCGATTCTTTTATTTCCAAATCGTCGGTTTGGAAAATGGAATGACACTGATTGCTTTAAGTCCATTGCTCCGACGCTGTAAAATCGCGTGATCGCGCACGTTTTCTCGACGGCGTGGAATTTCATCCGTGTACAACTTCATCGATGGGAATATTGTATGTGGTGGGAAACGTAGTTAGATATATATACATATATATATAGTACAAAAAGATTTGCTAATAGACAAATTATTATTTAAATATTAAATCTTTAGCTCGTACTCTTTACCCAAAGTCTAGGCCGTAACATCCGCGCGACCTCGATATATAGTTGTACCGTGTTTTCGATGTTTGTACATTCGCCGCGGCGTGTGCGTGTCATTCCTGCACAGAAATATACATGTGGCTATCTCTCGTCTGCCCTTCGTGTTTCGAAGTTATGTACATATAAACGGTCGTCAATTCTTCTCCGTTGGCCGGGGAGGTTCCTTTTTCCTTTCATCCGGAAAGAAAGAAAAAATATATAAAAGATACGGAAGACTGACAAATCGATTTTATTTAAAGAGAAATAAAGCTACGTGCAGTTATAATTTATAATTGAATTTAAGCCGGCAACTCACGAAATCGCGTACGCAGTGCGATGCAAAGGACTTGAATAATCTTTACGTTTTTTTTTTCAACAGAGAATTATTTTTGTTGTTATTTAGTGAATTTATTTACCGTATACGTACCGTTCATAATATTTACCGGAGCCGGCGAGGGTCCCTCGTAGCGTACGATTCGCGCCGATTTTTTTTTTGCCTTTTTTTTTAAATATACGAAACAGTTGAGCTTGGCAATTATTTGTTTAAGCGACAAAACGTGCTTCTTAAGGCTCCTGTTTCCTACAGCCGCGTTAAAGTGTGACGTCAGAAAGATAAATCCATTAGATAAATCATTTTTTTTTTATTACGCGTCGAGTGCCATCACGTTAAGCGTAACAAATCTTATCTTTATATCTCTTTGCCCCCTTCTCGCAGAATTTTGACATAATGTTCAAGTATTTATCGAGCACGTTTGTATCGTGTACAAAGGAGAGAGGATTGCCATGGTTTATAATATTTGAGGATTCATTTAAATATTGGACATTAGTATTTACAATTGTATATGTTAAACTATAACATATATTCTCCACATATCTTTGTAATAAATATCACTTTCAATTTTATATGTCACGGTAATCGTTTCTAACGTCTAAACAATATAATAATATGAAATCGTTGAAATAATTTTAGAATTATTTGACTTGGCTATATCAAGACTATAAAGCGTAGTCTAGAAGCAGGAGCTTAATACATTGAGCTATATAAATACTAAAGTATATAGTGTTACATAAGCACTAAGTGATTCTAAATACTTGGACATTTATGTATTAAAAGTGCACACTCTTTCTCTCTCTTTCAAATTTCTCTCTAGTACTTAAGAAGCGTGTTCGATCGCATAGACCATTAATTGCGTAGTTTAATTATTTTATGCTCGTTAAAAAAAGAAATGAAAAAAATCGCGTGCCGCGAGCTGCCCGTGTAAGCTCAGTTGTGTTTTTTTCGTGGGTCTCGGTTTTATCACCGAAGACATTTGTTCCCGGAAAGAACGACTTTGCTGAAATATCTGAAATTTTAGCTGGATACAGATCCGAAAATAATTCTGTTGGAAGCAAAAATAAAAATATTAATCATAAATTCAATTTGAAATAATTAAAAATAATTAATAATGTTGGAAACCTCAAAAATTGATTGCTGGAATATCAAAATTTTTTGTAGCTCACAAAAATCTTAGTGTTTGAGTTTTCAACGCATTTCATTTTGATGATTCAACAAAAGTATTTTCAAATCTGAATTCCGGCTAAATTTTAGATATTTCAGCAAAGTCGTGCTCTCTGTGGAACGATCGTTCATTTTAATACCACAATTGCATATTGCGAGGAAATAGAAGGAAGCCGCAGTTCAATGCGAGTTCCGCTCGCAGGGACGCAAACAATTTTAAAAGAATTGTTAAGGCTAATTGTCTGTAATCATTATCCAGAGCGAAGTGCATAAGGAAATAATAAATAAGTTGGTTTCTTTATTTATTGAAAAACATCCAGACTACGTCATTTCCAAGCACGTTTTCTTCGCAGTCTGAAGTAGAAGATTTATTCGTTCTTTTACAGCTATGGAATTTATTCGTTTTACAATAAATCAATTTACCGTGGCTTGCTATAAAATTAAATAGGAACTCTCGCAAGTTAGAAATTCGCAGTTGCAAAACGTCCAGTTGAGCCACGATTGATCGGATTAATATATTATACCAATTTCGAACTTTAAGCCTCACACAGCATTACAAATGATCTCTCCCCGCAATGCTGCACAATAAATGCAATCTCATTCTGTAAATTTAATCAGGAAGCACCAAGTTCTTAAGCTGTCTAATCTACTTCTCTATTTGATACAACAAGATTATGTGGTTAATGATGATACGAATAAAGTGATCCAAGCGTTCCTTTGAAGTAGACTGTATCTCTTCTTGATGTCAGCCCTAAAATCCCATCGTCTTGGCGTCAGACTCCACGTGTGATCTTTTTTTTTTATTAATAAAAAGACAAGCTCGATATAGAAAAAATAGACAATTTGTATCGAAGGGTCAAACGAATGAGCAAATTAGCGAACATGGTAGCGTTTATTGTTGCATACATTAATCAGATATAAAGGAAATTAACAAATAATTTCGCGGTATATATTTTAATTTGACGTAGTCTTCAATCGCAGATATAAATTAGGTGAACATATTATAAGTCAAACGCAGATTCAATTATATTTATTGTTTAATGTAATGGATAATTTCTAATTCACAAAGTGTTTCCTTCTTTTTTTTAGTTTAAAAAAGGAAAGCGGATGCGTGCGAACTACATGGTCCTCTCAATTAATCTCGCGTGATTCTCACGCGAGATCCGCGAAATCCGCACTTGTATAGCGGGCTCAAGGAACGCGGGTCTTATCCCACTCCCCCCTGTATCGGGGATGCGCGCGGATACGGCGTCGTATACGGGAAGCACACGCGCGAGATGACGATACGTCTCTCTCTTTCGTGGAGCATCGATCGAATCCTGCGCATTCGGGGGAGGCTGGCCATATTACCCCCTGCGATCCTCCCGATCCCTTAAACGCCGCCGTGTCCCCGCTGTGCTGGTCGATCGCCGCGGATCGACGCGGGCCCGCCGCGATTTTCGCCTCGCAAGCCGCGGGTGTAGATCGTAGATGAGCAACCATCGTCGTCATCATGCGGCCACGCAATCCGGGTAGTAGTTAGGCGATAATTCTCCGCGCCCTTCGCGTTCCGATTCCTTTCCGCACTCTCAGACACTCTCTTTTTTTCTTCTTTTCTTCGCCTCTCTTCACCTCTTCATGAAGCCTCGCTTGCGTCCGAGGTCGCACGGCCGTTTTTAGTTACGTTTCGTTCCGTTTTCTACGCTGCGCGAAGACTCGCGAAAGACCGTCGAGAAGCAGGGATCTCCCAGGAGGTACGTCCGAAGCGGCCGCCGGATTCGCCGTTTGGTAAGCACGATTGGTCTCGATGATGAATGTCTAGCACGAACTAATCCCAAGGCGTTAAAGGACTCCGAGACGTTTCCGTACCGTTGATCTGTGTAACGGGGGGAGAGATCCGCGAACGCATCATCCCCTTTACACGTCTCGCTCCGTTTCCTGTGTTACTAATCTATACATGTTTCTCTTGTCACTTGCACATCCTCTGTTTGCCAACACCTGCCAAGAGACGCGGACGATTTAAATTTTTGGATTGCCGAATGACCCCATGTCCGCTTACCTCGCTAGGAGGTATGGTGTACTCTAACTCTTCACGACCTCCACTTCTTCAATCACTGTATCTATATAGCTTGTGTACGGGATCGCGTCTGTAAAGGGATTAAACGTCGTAGAGGCAACAGATAGGGGAGAGAAATGGCGAATTTCCGAGGATTTTATATACCCTCCTTCGGTGCATCGGTCAACGTCGCCTGGGAGACCTTGAAGGCGATATGGCCGGAGAACAGCCCGTGCTTGGAGCTGATCCGCGGCGGCGGCGCCGGTATGGGGGGCCAGGGCCATCCCCAAGGCCGGCCCGGTCAGGGCCAGTTCAAGTCCTTCGAAGAAGGTCACGATAACACCGAGATGATGACCATGAACGGGGATCAGGCGTATCGGGATCAGAACAACGTGGGAATCGCCGAGGACTCCTTCAGCTATCAGAGGAACGGGTAAGGATACGTCGCCGCGTGCGTTTTCCGTGCGCTTTGTCGCTTACCGTTCAGGTATCAATTGATCACGTACACCTCTTCGATTTTAGGGATAAAGTTAGAACCGGAAGCATGAGCAGCGGAGAGTTCAGCGAGTACGACGAGGGTGGCGGAGAGTTCGGTGGGCCCGGTGTCAAGATCAACGAATGGCAAGCCGCTTGGAATGTTACAAACGCCATTCAGGTATTGCAGGATTAAAAAAGGAATTTTTGGTATCCGTGGTGAAAATTTTTCTTCAAATTCTTTGTACAATTTTTCAATATTTCTATAAATTTCAGAATTTTTCGAAATTTCTGTACAACTTTTTTTGGAACATTATGAGATATTTTTATACGAATACTTTTCAGAAATTCTACAGCTTTTCTAAAATTTTTTATTATATATGTGAATTTTAAAATATTCTAAAAGTTCTAAGATTCTTCATTTTACAACTTTCAAAAAGAAATTTTTTTATCTGAAGAAGTTTCAGGTATTTTTTTTAGAAATTTTGTTAAATATGTATTTTAATATAAGGAATAAAAATTTTTTTCACCAGGGATTTCTACGCGAAATCTCACTTTCCACTAATAATCTTTCCATTGATTTTCTATTCGAAGGAAGGGTTGAAAAAGCGTTATCGCGATGTTATATTTGATTATGAAAAATGACCGTAAAAGCGAATTATTATAATTATTAATTATATTTTTCTGTGAGTCATCCTTTTTTTTTAAATTTCTTAGGGAATGTTTATTGTCTCTCTGCCGTTCGCCGTCCTGCGTGGCGGTTACTGGGCGATCGCCGCGATGATCGGCATCGCGCACATCTGCTGCTACACCGGCAAGATCCTCGTCGAGTGCCTGTACGAGCTGGACACGGTGACGGGTCAGCGTGTGCGGGTACGTGATTCGTACGTGGCCATCGCCAAGGAGTGCTTCGGGCCGAGATGGGGCGCCCGCGTGGTCAACATCGCCCAGATCATCGAGCTGCTGATGACCTGCATTCTGTACGTGGTCGTGTGCGGCGATCTGATGATCGGCACCTTCCCCGAGGGCGCGATCGACACCCGCAGCTGGATGATGCTGATCGGTATATTCCTGCTACCGCTCGGCTTCCTCAAGTCCCTCCAGCACGTCTCCGTGCTGAGCTTCTGGTGCACGATGTCTCACCTCTTCATCAACGCGATCATCATCGGTTACTGTATCCTGGAGATTGGTGACTGGGGCTGGTCGAAGGTGAAGTGGACGATCGACATGGAGAACTTCCCGATCTCGCTCGGCGTGATCGTCTTCAGCTACACGTCGCAGATCTTTCTGCCGACCCTCGAGGGCAATCTCATCGATCGCTCCAAGTTCGACTGGATGCTGAACTGGAGCCACATCGCCGCGGCCGCGTTCAAGTCGCTCTTCGGCTGGATCTGCTTCCTGACCTTCCAGAACGACACGCAGCAGGTGATCACGAACAACCTGCACTCGGCCGGCTTCAAGGGCCTGGTGAACCTGTGCCTGGTCGTCAAGGCGATACTCTCGTATCCGCTGCCGTACTACGCGGCCTGCGAGCTGCTCGAGCGCGCCTTCTTCCGCGGCCGACCGAAAACGCTCTTCCCGACCATCTGGACGGTGGACCGCGAGCTCAAGGTCTGGGGCCTCGCCTGGCGGGTCGGCGTGGTCGTGTTCACCATACTGATGGCGATCTTCATACCGCACTTCAGCATATTGATGGGCTTCATCGGTTCCTTCACCGGCACCATGCTCTCGTTCATCTGGCCCTGCTACTTCCACCTCAAGCTGAAAAGGAACTCGATGGAGTGGAGCGCCGTCGCCTACGATTGCTTCGTCATCTTCCTCGGTATTCTCTTCGGCGTGATCGGCGTCTACGATTCCGGCTCCGCGCTGATCAACGCCTTCGAGATTGGCCTGCCCTTCTGAGCGATCGCGCACCAGCTAGGTCGTTCTGTTGTTCTTGTCCTGCGCCGAAACGATATTACGGAAACGCTCTCGGGCCGCCGGAACATTCGGCTCTCGATTTTAAAACGTTGCTCGGTATTTATGCAATAATTGCTGATGCATGCGGGAGACTGTAGAAAATTTAAAACAGAAGCGATAATTGATAGAACTTTGTGCTTTGGAAAAATTAGAAATTTTTTCTGAATAACGTTCAGATCAATAATCAACAAGATGTTTTTTTTTTACAAAGTGTGCTAATATCAAATATGTACATTATTGCAAAATCCTTTTTAAATTTCGTAAAATTGCTTGTAATAAATGTCTGTAAATTTGAAACATATCAATGAATTGAGGATCAAATATTTCACGTGCTCGAGAGCGATTAATTCGTATGAGAATTTTGCGTTTTTTGTGTAACTCGATACCTATTCTTGTCACGTGTCATTTTAACGTCTTCATTATTTTTACAAAGTAACATTGTGCGTAGTTATATCTCTTTAAAATGATCTTTTAACTAATGAAACGATTAAAGTGCAGGAGCATCTTCCATTCGCGCAAAAAAAATTACGCGTTAATAATCGTGAAACAAGTCTTCCAATAATGTCTTCCAGAAGGATAATATCGTATAATCCAACGATAATATCGATAGAAATCTAACGCACGATCTGCGTTTGTGTATTTGTAATCATGTTTAGTTGGTCACGTCGCAAATTTACACTTACATCATTATAAATTAATAATTTCAAGGGCAATAACACACCACACATCCAATTTTTTCAATTATTATAGTCTGTAGAATAGAAACGTGAAAATCAAAAGACGAGGACACACTATTTTCTACAGCTAACTGTAGTTCTCTCTAACTAACTGTAACTCTCTTGTTTTCAGAAGGAAAATTATTAGCTCGCTAGAGAGCGTTAAAATTTCGTTATACATTTCGACCAGAATCGCGACGTTTGTGTAACGCGAAGGATTTATCCAATCGTCTTCCAATCCCCCGATTTGCCTTGAATTGGGGAGCCTTTAGGTAAAAAACGAGAGATTCTCATCGCGCATATTGAACGTGATGGTAAAGCACGAGGTAACTGATGTCTTCCACGATGCAGCAGCAAGCAGAGCGCAGCCTAACTAGTAGTTGACTACTGTTACAGTTTTCTGGATTTTATAATTGTATCGCTGCGAAGTTATATATATATATATATATATATATATACTCGTGTATAATTTTTATGCGACGCGTTGAATTGTGAATCGCGGCGGCGGGACGCATGGCGATCTCGTCACGCTACGTTAGTAGATAGTTAGTCGTTTAGTCGATGATTAATCTGCCAAACAATAATTTTGGGATGTCCCGCCGTGCCGTCCCGTCGCCGTACAAACGAGACGCAAAGCGATGCGCGAACAGTTATGTACAACCAAGTACAATTAGTTGTATAATCCAACGTCTTCCAAGATCGTATAGATCGTTAGTTTAAGGAGTATAGACAATGTAGTCGTTCCGTGGAACTGCAGAATGCCGCGACGGCTCGAGAAGCATTTTACGTTTCGTAGAATGTATTCTGTATGATTAGCGCCATGCTAGATATTCTTGAAGATTTACAAATCGTTGAATCTGTAACTTTTGGATTCTTGGTAGATCCTTGAGATGATCATATTTAGTGACATTCCTAGTGAAAACTTTTCTTAGAATTATTTAATTTTTTAGATCAATTTTAGAATCTTTGAATAATTTTATCTTTTTAATTTTTTTATGAATTGAGATAGAATTGAGATTTTTTCAGGAATACTTGAAAGTCTACATCTCTTTTCTAGAATTCTTAATCCTTCAGACTTGCAGATTTTTTTTCTTTTTTCTCGAAGTCGTATTCGCGAGCGTTCTGCAGACATGGAAAATTCGCAGACTAACTAAAACGCGTTAATAATCGTGAAACGAGTCTTCCAATAATGTCTTCCAGAACGATAAATATTGATAAAGATAATAACAATATCACTATATGATAATGATGTATTACTATTTATTGAAGCAAAGAATCTTTGTCGGATGATGAATTAAGCGTTATATTGAAGAATTGTAGACGTTAAGAGTTAACTCATAAGCTACGGTCATGCATAATTGATGTTTCATATCGAATGAATATATCAATGACACACACAATGTAAGTAAAATCATGCTGTTCACGAAATCAATTTAGAACGTTAACGAGGGATCATCTTCTTTGTATCAACAATAATTATCGAAGGTGGCTGAATGAGAAAATTGTGTTGGGATCCTCTCTTCGTGATTATCGGACGACGATAGAATTGATCATATATTCGTCTTGTAAATTTTAATTTTGCTTTTTGATATATCGTGTGAAACGCAAGTCTTCCAACGTTCTGCTTTCCAGAACGGTCTCTCTTTCTCTTTCTCTCTCTGTTATCAGCCGTGAGAGAAGAATAGAAATGCTGCAACGCGTAAAATCCGTTGTGGTTTCAGAGAGATAGTTGTTTCGACTTAGATTATTTAAGCTAATCACGATGAGACACCTCGAGAAAAAAAAAACCGATGTCTTTTCATGCGGACGAAGGCGAGCAAGTTTAGGCTTCTAAAGCGCTTTTGCAGAAACATTCATATTTTGCGGCGTTTCGAGAAGGGCAAACCTCATCGGTGTTGTGTAGACAGAAAATATACCTATAAACGTTATAAAATGATGTAAAGCGGCCTCCGTATTACGAGAAGTATGAAAATACATTATCCGCACGTATGAGTACGAGGAGTGATAATATATTGACAAAATTTTACGGGCGTATACTTTACTTGCACTTCACCCGATAATACGACACGCACGTTACTTTTTTTTTTTAAAACAGTGATGCGCAACATTTTTTAAACAATTTTCAGAAATAAGCAGAATCTTGGTGGACCGCATATATGTATTTATTTCGTTTGCGTAAAATAGAACAGATTGATTTTATACTTTCAGCTGAGTCGGCGGACCGCAAAAAAAAAAAATTCACAAGCGGGCCACAGGTGGTGTGCATCAATGCTTTAAAAAATTATTCACAGGAATTTTGTTTTCGATACGGGATTAAATTTCATTTCAAATTTCACTTGCTTACTCGAGTGCATATATTTTTAGGGGGGGAAATGAAGGACAAGACAGATGAATAGATTTCGTTAGACAATATATATTATATAATTAGATTTATTAACAATGCTTCATTACTATTTTTCACATTAGAATAATCTCAGAAATGCTATGACTGAAAACTATTGATTGAAAGTAACAGTTTTATGGAGGCTTGAAAAAACATTGTATGGATATGGCAACGCGTCACATTTTTTTTTTCTAACGAAGAAAATAAGAAAAGAGTTTATATGTCCAACAGAATTAGCTTCGAAAGAAGTGCTCTTGAGAAAATCTAGAAATCTCACTTACACATTATCGTCGTTTTCGACGAGAGTCTAATTACTAATATTCCTAATATGATATACTAAGTATCAAAAAATTAATAATAGAATGTGTGCGTATATTCTATATGATTTAATTCCTTCGAAGAAGTTTAAGTCGATCAATTCAGATATGATTTCAGTCGCATGAGCCTCCAGGAGTTCTATCTAATAATCTGTCAACGAATCATACAAGCAACGAGAAAAACAAAAATATAAAAAAAAAACAAATATTAATATGATATAAATAATTATATATATGTATATATAAACTACAAATTCAAATAACATCGTCAATCGGTAAAAGTTATCTTTGCTCTAATATTAAGATATAATCATTGTTAGAAATCTAATTAGAATTTATTAATCTCACAGCTGCTCTTGATCTAAAACATCCCGTTTCTTTTTATTATTGCTTGTGCCAAAATATTCTTTGATTGTCACTTGAACAGGAGTGAACGTTCCTTTCATTACATTTTATATAAAAATTCGGAGATGTCATACACAATGACTGTTATTTCGCTATTTTTTTTTCTATTACAAAAATGCTATAGTTCTATAAACGGAAAATCGTGCTATACATATACATACATACATGTACATGTATAGCATTTATTTAGTCGAACTTTAGAGCAATCTTAAATGAATCAGAGAAACAAAATTAAACAGATAACAGAGTATATATATATTCACATATTGTGTATATATGTATATATGTATATATATATATATACACATATATATATATGCACATATATGTGTAAGATTCTGGAACAAAAAATAGAATTGCGATGTATTATCACTCAGCGAACTTGCAGTTATCTACGTAACATTCTCGAATGCTTGTTCCAAAAATAAGAATTCGTTGGGAACTATTCGAATAGCTTGATTTTCTCAACTCGTATATTGCCATAAAAATTAACTTTTGAAATATATATCACGCATTTCAACAAATATTTATAAAAGCTTTGTCTCCTATCACACATTATCGGTAACTTACAGTTACGTCGTAACATTTCGTACTTTTTCTTTCTTTTTACTTCGCACTTCTCTCTCTCTCTCTTTCTTATTTTATTAGTTCTAGTTCACTCGAAGCTGTCCTTTTTTCCTCTACGTATAGAATCGTCTTTTAGAGATTCTTATCAACTACGATGCTACTTGCGACGCTACTCTCTTTCTCATTATCATCTGTGCGCTCTTCAACTTCATCAATACATTTCGCTTCATCTTGTTTGTCACCGTTAATCTTTTCGTCCGCAATAGCAACTTTATCGTCCATAGTCAACATCTCTTCTTCCTTTAAGGCTTTCAGGTCCTCGCTTTTCAGTTTATCACTTTGTTCTGCTACATAATCTACGTCAGCTGTAGTCGTAATACTAACTACTTCTTTTTCTTCTGGAGAGCTCTCCGCATCGTGTTTAATATCGTTTTCTTGCTCACTCATATCTTTAGTTTGTGTATCACAGTTATCGCTTAAGATTTCATTAGTTTGCTCAGAATTGTGGTCTTCATTTTCCATTGCGGTTTCCTTGGTATCTTTCTCAGCGTCACATGACGAGTTCTCCACGCATTTAGTCTCATTTTCATCATTGTCGTCCTCTACTGTCGATACGATCAAATTCGTTTCAGTAGTTTCGCACTCGGATGTCACGGCTGCTTGAACATTTGGCGACTCATCCAACTTATCTTCCACCTCTCCATCTTTTTCACACGTTTCAATTACCGTGTCAATTTCAGTCGCAGGTAAATCTAAATTCTGCAAATCCGCCTCATCTTCCTTGCCTGCATGAGCTTCCCTTATCTCGTTTACGGGCGAATTCAAACTGCTATTCGGATTGTCTGTGTTCTTTATTTCTGTATCATTCATGTCAGAATCTCCAGAAGAAATTAGATTGCCCTCTCTTTCGTTCGCAGTCGTCACAATCTCACCATCCTGTAACGGCTCCGCAACGTTTTCCTCAGCGTTCTCGCTTTGAGGTTTAGATTCATAAGACATTTGTGACTCCTTAGACTCCATATTTTCTTCCCGTGATTCCGTCTCACATTTCTGCAGGCCTTCATCGTCTTTCCTGTTCTCCTTCTTACGGAGGTAAGGAGATTTATTGCTGGAGTCCTTTTTCTTCGGTGGAAGCTGCGACTTTCGCGAATTCGAGGCTTTGTGCTGATTCTCGTGATAGACGCCCTTAGGTCTGTCCTCGTACGACTTCGGGCGTGAAAAGGGCTCGGCATCGGGGAAGGCTACCTCAACGTCCGCGTGACTGCTGTACGTTACGCGACTCCTCTGTCGCGGCCCGACTCGTCCCGTTCCAGCAATACTCGGCGAGTTTACTGAAAACAATAGCGTTGAAAATGCATTCCAAATACCTTTTACATTCGGGGAATGTGCCACTGCCGCTTTTGATATACCTTTGACACTCATGACTGGACCCTTCCCCATGTTTCCCTGATTCAGCGTAACCTTTATGCTCTTGTCGGTAGCGATGACGGTTCTCTTTTCGGAGGGATTTTTAACGTGCCCGTCCTGATGATACGTATTATTGGAACTATTTTCATAATTATTATGAAAATGTCTCGAACTTCCCCGATAAGAACGATGACCAGCGCCGCGATTATGGCTTGCATAATCATTTCCTGCACAAAGCAATTGTATCCATATATATATATATAAAAGTATGTTCAATGACGAGGACGGAATTTAAAACTCCTCCGTGATTTGTGATATTCCTACTTATATATAAGAGTCCATTGATTCTCACCATTAACGTGGTATCTCCTATCATAATCTTTATAGTCCTTTTTTACGTAATCCCCTAATTTAGCCTCAGATCTCGCCACTTCGTCCACAATGTGCGCCTGCAATTGAATGTACGTAATCCATCGTGTCCGCGCAGTCATGTGACAATGCATGATTTTCTTTTCTTTTTTTTATGTAGCTCTTACCTTGTCGTTATCCCATTCTCTGCGCCAATTACCCTCCGCAGTTCTCTGTCTGCTGATGCGATCCTCATCGATACGATTCCTCTCGGCTCTCCAAGCTTCGTATTCCGGCTGATGCTCGTCCCTGTGCAATCCTCTGCTCGTTCTATAATCCTTTTCGAGAAATAGATCATTAAAAAAAAAACAGGAAAAACAGTGTGTAGGTACATTTAGAACATTTCAAGTTTTACGTACTCGTTGCATCCCATCCTTCCCTCCAGGTTTCCTCCTGAACATGCCTCTCGAATATTTTTGCCCTCTATTTGAGTTGTCCTTTGTGATCTCTTTTTCACCTTCCTCTCTCTCAGCGTCAGCAAGGAAGTTGTATTTAGGATCAGGTGGAGGCCCTTGTCCCTAAAAATATTTATGAGAATATTCAATTTGTTGAAACCATTCTCAAACTTTAAAGAAACCTAAGCTCTCGAATAAAGATATTTTATTAAATTAAATCGCAGTAGAACTCCGAACATGTCAGGGGACAAGATAGTTCCAATAACCAAATGGATAACAAACGCTCACTTATAAGTTTCGATAAATAGGAGCTGACATTCGGAAAACTGAAGTCGAGCATCAAGCCCTTATTACCCAAATAGCTCGGCTATCTATTATTTCTAAAAATTAGAAAAAGATAAATTGAACCGAGATAAAAGTTAATCCACGATTGAAACAGGCATAAATGTCAACAGCGATCAATTCTGATTAGTTTGATTTAATGACAAATTGGTCAATTCCAATGAAATAATCAGCTAGTAGAGTTAAGATGGTGAAATTGACCTTGATATATAGTGCGGCTAAACAAAGTTCTATTGTAAAATATTACTAAATCAAGATCTCCTTTTAATACAACTTTTCTGCACACCTGAGCAAAGGTATGAACTTTTCGTCCTTCACCACCCGCGGGCTGGTATTGCTGAGGATGTTCATGGTGTTCCTTGGCAGGTTTCGACTTGCTACTACTCGTCCTAGGTGGATTAGAAAATTCCGGCGGCTCCTTCCTCTCCGGCCAATCTGTAGACGGTACCATTTGCACCAGTGCGTTCAATTTAGCCGCATTTTTCTTATCCTCCTCGACTTCCTGCACGTAACGGGGGAGTCCATTATTTCTCACATAAAACATCGCTATGGAATCGCTTAATCCTTACCTCGTGCCTCCTCCTAATTTCCTCATTCTGTTGCCTTATCTTGTTGATCTTCTCCTCGAGTGCATTCGCTGCCATCTGCAATTTAAAACAATCAGATCACTTGGGGCAACAGATTAGAAACACATAAACACAATTGGGCCTTCTCTCCTCCAAAAATCCTCGTTGAAAAAAAATAATAATAAGTGAAATTGATCGACATGTAAATACACAATTAATAATGGAAAACATTCGGTCGAAGCGTATTTTGATATCTAATAATATTTTTGCGTGAATTTATATAACTTTTCAATTTATACAAACTTGCGCGCCGATTATTCGTCGATATCAAAAAACGTCTCGAACTAAATCCGAAGCTGGAGTCGCAATGCTTCGTGAATTAAATTGAATTGATTCTCGTTGGAAAAACATCTAGGTATCGCGAAGAAAAAAACGTTTGAAGCCGCACGACAGATCTATGAACGGACGATGGATATTCGTGTCACGTCCCCGCCGCTAGAGGAATGTCGCTTCCGAATTCCCTCCCCGTCCTCTAAATAACCGATCGCGAGAGCGCGCCGATCCTCCCGATCGGGCCCGTCTAAAGGGGCTGTAAAGACCGTGCGAGATGTACACCGGCCGAAAGAAATCACCCCCCCCCCTCCACTCTTCCCCGGAGCTCCGGAATCCAATCATCACACCATCGAGGATTCCGCAACGCAAAAGGAGCCCCACAGGCGGGTCGTCGTCCTTCCCCGCGTCGCGCACGAGCGGAACAGGAGCACGATGCGCGAGAGGATTCACGGCACCCGTCGCTCTCCGGGGCTCCGAAGATTCTCGACTACTCCTGACTCGCGATTCGCGCTACCTCCGCAAATCTTCCGTAAATCTCGGTTCGATTCGCGACTCGCCCGTCTCGCTCTCGCCGCTCGCGTTCGCGCAGCAACGCACCACCGCGATACCGTTAAAGAGACGGTATTCTTGCTGCACCGACTGTTTTTTCACCGCGGGTGCTCAATTCGACGTCAAGGGAAACGCGAGGGGGCCCGGAGGGCTGTTGCCCGTCCAGGAGTCACGGCCACTTCGGCCGGCGCAATTGCGATAATACAACGTACGGCGTATAAATTGGATGCGTAGGAGCGTCGCTGGACCGAACACTAGGCGAGACTGGGGCGCTTCAGCGGCAGCGGAACATCGCGCACACGGCACACACCGCGGCGACGCTTTATGTCAGATGCAGGAAGCCGCGCAGAAACACGCACGCAGCTGCTCCACACAACAGTCGCACCACGGGGCGGCATCTGTCACCCTCTTTGCGCGCGCGCGCGCGCGCGTGCCTTTCGTTCGACCTTACCGACCGATGGTAACGCGGGCGACGCGACGGACGCGCGCGCTGGAACGGAATTATTTGATTTTTGTCGCGTGCTCGTGTGTATATTTACATTTTTTTGCTCAAAACGATATATACACTCGGACGTTGGAGAGAGAGAGAGAGAGAGAGAGAGAGAGAGAGAGAGAGAGAGAGTTCAGAGTGCGAAAAGTGCAGGCAGCACAAGCCGAGAGAAATGAATGTACCTAACCTCCGATGTTCCTAACCTCTCATTTTCCGCACTTTTTCCGCTCTTCTCTCGCGGTTTATTAATTATGTCAATGCGCACCGCCGTCGTTTTCCCGCTGTAAATTTTCGTCCTCGCATATGTGTTCTACACTCGTTACTCTCGCCCTAAGATTTAGCTCGATCTGTCAACGTAAACATTATATGACCCATGTATGGCGATCACGAGACCCGAGCGCTCGTTATACCGCTCCGGACAGTCCGAACGCGTGGGTCGGCCCATCGCGAGATTATGTATACGCTCATTAGATAATCCTGGCTCGTCATGACGAACGAGGACACCGTGTGGAGCGAACTGGCAGGCATCCCCGCCGATCCCCCCGAGACAAGGGACAAGTGTCAACAATGCAGGCAAGTGCCGAAAGATCCTGCGGCCTAATTTGTTGCGAGAGCAATTATTGTCTTCTCGAGTTTATCGCCCTTTTCTCTGTCGATGTGGATTAACTTCAATCTCGATTTAATATTTTCTAATTGATGGTAATTTTAAGAGAGATAAATGTCAACAATGCAGGCAAGTGCCGAAAGATCCTGCGGCTTAATTTGTTGCGAGAGCAATTATTGTCTTCTCGAGTTTATCGCCCTTTTCTCTGCCGATGTGGATTAACTTCAATCTCGATTTAATATTTTCTAATTAATGATAATCGTAAGATTCACATATAATATATTATCGAGCGCCAAGATCCGCTTTGTACCGTGTTGACGTTTTCGGATCTCAATTATTATTGTTATATTTTCTCTTTAGCTTTTTCTAATTCTTTAGAATTAAGAAAAGATACAAAGTTAAATCGAGATTGAAGTTAATCTACTGCATTGGCAGGAACGGGCATAAATGGCGTGTATGCTTTTCTGCAGGAGGCCCGTACAGGTGTGCTGGTGCCCGGGTTTGCCGAAGCAGCGTTTCAACCCGGCGTCGCGGATAATAATCCTTCAGCATCCGGCGGAGGCGAAGCGCTGCTTGCGAACAGTACCGATGCTCGCGCTGGCGTTAGAGTCGGGAAAGTGCCTAATTTTCAGGTGAACAAAGCGCGATTTGAGGACCTTAACTAGATCGCTGAAGATCTTGAAATCTTAATTTCTAAAATTGTGCTTCTCTTTAAGGGGAAAGAAGTTTCCACTGCCCAAACACGAAGGACTGGCAGAGATATTAAATGACAGGAATACTATTTTGTTATATCCATCGCCTGGTGCCGTGGCACTGGACACCCTGGATCCAGTCGGGATTAACGAACAAAAGGCGTATAACTTGGTTCTGCTGGATGGAACGTGGCCGCAAGCGAAAGTAAATCACCGCTGGTGACATCCATAAACTTATTGACATTTAAATGAATTTGCAAACTGATTAATGTTTCAATACAATTACTAAATTCAGACTTTTAAAGAAGAGATATATAGTGCCAAAAGATAAGACAACATAATAATAAGATATGTACACAATGACATATGTACACACAATAGGTGACCGGATTCCTCAATGTTTATTGTTATCCTGTACAGGCGATATATCACTCGAGTCCGGCTCTGTATTTTCTGCGAGCGTGCAAGCTGATCGGCGTGCCCACTAGCGAATACGTGATCAGAACGCAGCCGACGGAAGGCTGTCTCTCGACGCTGGAGACGGGCGCAAGTGCGCTCTCAATTCTGGAGGGCGATCCCGAACTGAGGGAGAAGATGCTGGGTCCGCTACATTATTTATGCAAGCAAGTACACAAGTCTCTCTCGAACAGCCGTTATATAATAATTCTTTCTTGGAATAAATTGTAATTTTGTACGATTAAAGAAAAAGAAAAATGAGAACGTGGCAAATCAATAATTGAAATCACGTTTAAAAACGTTGGTTTACATCGTATAGTATTATGTGTGTTTGAAGAACCGTTTCTCTTTTCAGGTTTCAATTAGAAAATGGTGCGGTAACACATCAGAGCAAGGAATTTCTTATCAAACAGAAAGCTTATCCCAAATTAATTGGCAAAAGACTCGCCAAACAATTACGTATATTGCCAGACAGTACCTCGTAACATTAAGATATAATTGAAAATTAGATAGGGAAAAGGGGAAAAGGTATAGGTAAAAAAATATATGTGAAAATCATTTATGAACTTTATATAAAGAGCGTTGTGTGATATGGAAACGAAAAAGAATTTACTCTGCGTAAAGTGTTAGCACGAGTTTTGATAAATTTTCTGCTTACAATTATAGGCCGGTATTCATTTTGTTGGTTTTTATATTTGAGACCATCTTAAGTACTACAGTTTTTAAAATATCAAAATATCACAAGTCAATCATACAAGAGCTATATTATCATCTTTTGAAACGTTACTCAAGATGGTTTTCAAATAAGAATGAATTATGAATATTGGCCCTAAAACAAGCATTAAGGAATACTCTCTATTCCAGCGACTAAAAAAAATTTTTTTAATAATAAAAAGTGTGATCTTTTTGGAGATTTATACATCTTTTTACTCATGTTTTCTTCTAATATTCAATATCAAGATATCTTCTATTATTTTTGAATATCTGTATAATGAGTATTGAATATTCGATTTCTTGCAAATATAGAGATTTCCGTGTTTGAAAGAACAACTCAATAATATAATATTTCTTATAATATAATTGTCAGAAATGTAAAAAAAAATCTACTTTCATTGTATGGAATGTATTTGGAATATTAAATTTAATTTTATTAGAAAATAAAAATTATTTTGAAGCAAAATATTATAAGCTTTCTCGATGTTCGGGCTCGCTTAAAATTTGAAAAACGTTTTGAGAAAAACGTGATTCAAATTTTATAAATATATTTGTTGATTAGCCACACTTCCGCTATCCAGGACTACCACAATTATGCACAGATATTTTTGCGAAAAAATGATCATAAAAGTAGTATTAAATAAAATTCCTTTGTTGAAGACATAGGTTGAAAACACAACTTCGATTTTTCCATAACTTCTTATAATTTTATTATTTAATGTTTGAAACGTTTTATTATATTTTTCTTAATATAATAAAAAACAAACATTAAAGCATTTCACTATTTTACAAATTATTAAATAACTTTAAGCGAGCAAACAAACCGTCGCATTTTAATACATTCAATCATTCGTCAGTATATTAAATTCAAATTCCACTTCCCCACTTTGTGGGACGAAAGTGAAAGACCACGAAAGTGCATCTTCTTTCGTAACATTTGATACTGTACGAAATAGGTGCACACCTTGCCTCGTGTACGGATCCCAGGACACGCGCTCGCCAGGTACTATTTCTTCAATCGGGCCGCAAGATACTGACAGATCCGAGTCCAATTGCCAATCCACCCAAATAGCGACGCCATTGCAGCAGCCGCTGCTGTAAAATGAAAAATATATGGATGTAATAACTATTATAAAGGAATTGAAATTTTCATTTTTTTTCAAGTTTTGACTTAAAAAATTTTTTTTTAAAAGCGCATCATTTACTTAATATTCAATAAAAGGCATACTTACTCTAAAATCGGAATCTCTCCTGTTATTCTCTTGCGTTTGTCGAAATTTACATTCCGTGTCAGATCGAGCTTTATAATATCGAAGGACGAAGATAACGCTTTGCAAGGATACTCCCAAAGTGGCTGCGCCTCTACGGGATTATCACTTTTCTCGCTGGATATCTGGAAATGTAAAATACAATCTCTCTTTATCACGAATACAAAACTAAAAATTAATAGACAAACCGATAAGAATCAGGTATGAAACTCTGTATGTAATATATAAACTGAACACCAACGTTTATTTTAAACACAACAAGTTAGACGTACCGACTCAATTTCAAATCGTAGTAAAAATGCTGAGGACAGCTCGAAATCGAGCCGAAACGTCCAAATTTATTACGTTCAAAATAAACGTTGATTTTTAATTTATATTGCGCAACCGAGTTCGGCGTCTCACACTCATTAACCCTTTTTGCTATCTTTATTTTATTTCAGGAGTTCCAGGATTAATTTTTGTTTAAAAATAAAATTAAGCTAATGGAACTAACTTGAATAAGTTTGTCGAAAGAGGACAGGTCGAAACTCTCGCAAGTGCCAAGCGGAGCTCTTATCTTCTGCAAATCCTTGAATTCGACAGCGGCGGCCTTGACCGTCGCCGCGACCGGCATCCTCGCGATACTCGACGGATATCTGGAGGTGAGATACCAGAATCGTAGATTCTCCCACGGCACGATGGAGCTCAGGAAGTATGGCTCGCCAAAGATGAAATCGATTTCGCTCGCCTCCGGCAGACCGTCGACCGACTCGACGATCTTTATGCGATCGGAGAGCTCGTTTGTCTGCACGAACATCTCCATGGTTCTACGCGACAGGAAATTCTGTTCCAGCAGGAACACCTTTGCGCCCAATCTCGCGATCGCGAGAGCCAACAGGCAGCCATCCGAGACGCAGAGGCAAACGCTGCTCGGGGTGATCTTCTTCTGCAAAGCCTGCAGGTACCTCTGATTACGAGCCGTGTCGTTCAGTTGACCAATACGCGTCCGCGAGTACGCGATATGCGCCCAGCAATTGCACTCGGGCCTCTGGCAATCTGGAATCTCATCTCTATGAAAGAGATTTTCTTTTTTTAATTTAATTACATTAAAAATAATTCAAATTATTTTTAAACAGCAAGCTCTCTAACAAAGTCAATTAATAATGCAGGAAGTAAAAAATAATAAAACTATAAATTGAAGGGCCTACTACAACAACGCAAACTCTCAACGTGGCCAAATAGGTATGTGATATAAATAAATAACATAAAAATGTATTTTCCCGTCACTTTAACTTTGGAGTTCATTTTCTCCGTTTCTACAAAATGTGAATTAATCCACTGTTGTAGCAAGCCCTTCAATTATATGAAATGCGCGTGAATGAAATTATGACAGAAAAAGAGACAGGAACTTACATAGGTCCATTCAATAATTTAAACCAGAAGGAATATTCATCGTGATAGCCGATAAGGTTGACCTCGACGCCGCAAGTGATGGACACTTCTTCCGGAAGGTAATAGACAGCTTGCATCCAGTGATCCCGCCAAGGTATCGAATCCGCCATCTTTTGCAAACACGAGGCATCTTTCTTCATGTTATCGGGTACGTCTGGATGCTCCCATACAGGTGCACAGCTCAGCAACACCTGAAAACGATACATGGTATGAGAAATTCATAAAAATAATTAGAAAAATAATATATAGATAACGTTTTATTACCTGATTATCTGTATCCATGTTCAAGTCCCACCACATAAAGATTGCATGTGCGATGCCGTTTGTTATCGGTTGCGTAGGTAATGATATCTTTTCCTTGTTCAATAAAGGTTTCTTGCCAGACCAGTCAAACCTAAAGTGGGTTTTCAATATGAAAATTATTAAGAGTGCAGTTGCAAAACTATGAACGGCAAAACTATCTTTACATTCCTTTTTCTTATAATTCGGTCAACATATATCGTATATTAGATAAATAAGATCCATTCTTCAGATTCATTCAGGTTTTCGAAGTCAGTATTGAATAAGAAGAGAGGAAAGATCATTACCTGAAAATAGGCTGTGCCGGCAGCAAAGGCACAAAAGTATCGCGAGGGAGACGCGACAGTTGCATGTCGTGCACAGCTGCGGCGCCAGAGCACGCCTGAATAGTCGGCGGAGCGTCAATCAATATTTCTCCGCTCTTAATAGGCTTCACCCGGTTCCATCCACAGACTTTCGAGCTCTCGACCACTTGCGCCCATACCGTGCCTTTGTGCGGAACGACTATGCTGTCTTCCTGATGTGTAAGAGCAAAGCGTAAGTATATTTTCAACCAGACGGGATCATCCGCGAGCTCGGTATTACCTCGAGAAGAACCTCGTGCGCGTGACGGAACGTTGACAACGCTCCCTCGCCAATCAGCTCGGTGTCGAACACCTCAGTGACTAGAATATTCGCGCGCTTCGGCATGTCACCACCCTCGCCCACTGTCATCTTCGTAGAACGCTTGCGGATCAGCTTAATTCTATCTTCGAGGCCGTTCTCCTTTATTATTTCTGCGGCGCAATTGGCCATTGGTTTGAAAGCCTAAACAAGATGTTTCTGCGTGAGCGGCAGCACTTTGAAAAATTCGAGAAAAAAGTTTAAAAATTCTCTCCTCCTTTACCTCGCATGCCGTTATGGTGTCCGCTCCGCATTTAGCAGCCATCATCGACAGCAGGCCTGTCCCAGTGCCTATGTCAAGAACATTAGCCTCTTCGCCGGCCTGATGTTTCTTCTCAATTGCAGCTTTGAGGCCGACGTAATATTTCTCATTCTGTCGAACAAAATGTAATGTATTTTAATTCCGCTAGTTAAATCAATTATCAAAGAATAAAAAATATATGAAGTGGTAGCACAACAAGATACTGACTCGTTCGTGATCATGCAGCATGTCTGCAAAGGCGGATCTAGCTACTTCTTGATGATAATCGTAATACTGATCTTTCTCCTCCCAAGAGGCAACACCAGTCAGAGGATTCAAGCATTGCGTGAATATGCTCATACTTCGATTTGGTAATGCTTTTATTGCAGCGACTACACCAGCTCTTAACATCCAATATTGAAATATATATGCGGGAAGATGAAAGATACATTTAAATACTTTACTTTCGCTCTATTTTAACTCTTTGTACCTGCAAGAAATCATAGTTTCTAACATTGAGTGAATCCCAAAGCGCTTTGTACATCGAATACTGAATCTCAATCATTACTCTGCTCTTTACTCTCTAACAGGGATTTATACTTATAAATCTCTGAATAAAAATCTCCAAAAATATAGCTTATATAGCTTTTGTCACTGAAACTGTGCATCTTATATAAAATCTTACTGATAATACTTGTAAACAAGCTAAAGAGGCTGTGTTAGGTAAAATAAAAAATAAAAACCATAGGCTAATTTTAAACTGGTCGCTAGATTTTAGACTAATATTTCATTTGTCATACAAGTTTTTTAAGTATATTAATTGATTGTAAGATAGAGAATTTCTGGAAACTTGAGAACTTTTGCGTTCTGCTAATCAATTAACACACTTGAAAAATTTGTCATATGGAATATCAGCTGAAGACACAATTAGGGATGAATGAATATGTGTAGCTTGTATGATTGAGGCATAATTGTATAGTCCCTTCTTGACATGTAAGCTGAAGTAAATAAATTATGTTCTTCTATTTCCACTTACTGGTAATACATCGGACAAACTGCTGTAGATAACAATGATAATGTATTCAAACTACCACGTATGTCTTGGACTTTCATCAGTTTATGAGCTATCAGTACTACTTCATCATTCCTCTGCTCCAACATTCCAAAAACTTTGAAAATACGAGATTTTTCCTGTAAAAATACAATATCATGAGAGAACTAAATCAGGCAGAATAAATCATGCTTTTCTAATGCTAGGCATAAAGCTTGTATTATCTGAATGGCCACAATATTAACATTTATAAATATCAGTATTAAAAAATCTTAATATAAATTAAGCTAGTGAACAATAAGATGATACATTAGCTAAGTCATATTCAATCAAATATCATTAATTGATTATTTTTATGTAAAGTCAAAATCATCCCTTTTATACTGTAGCCCTATCCTGTATTTCAGTTTAGCACATTATATTATATAGTTATTAAAGCCCATCTTCACAATGTATGGTTACCTGAAGGTTAAAAATTACCAAGAAGTTTAATAACGTTTGATTAGGACTTAATCATCAAGTTAACTTGATGCCAACTCAACTGATGTACACATAACCTTCAGTTTATTTGACTATAAGCTTATGAAAGTGTATTTTAAGTAAACTTTCAAGTTTTAGTTAACCTAACTTTTTCGTTAACTATACATTGTGAAAATGGGCCTAAGAGAAGCTAAAAATTGTGTTGGATAAATCATATAAGAAAAGTTAGTGTAAGCAATAAAGTAATTTAGGTATATATATTAGTTGCTAGATGTTTAATTAGCCATTAATTTATAAAAAAATGAATGGACATGTGGCTAAGCACATATTGTAAACCAAATTCCTTCTTAGAGGAACATAAGCTAAAATAAATAATTCTATTCTACCTATTAGTTATCAAATTTGTACCAAACCAAACTACAGTATTAGAGATTAGAATTTAGCCAATCAGAACGAAACAGATTAAAATTAAATTTATCTGATTGGTCATATTTTAATCTTCAATATTCAATGATAGATTTGTTTCATTACTGCACTGGACCTGCATTAGAACTTTCCTTCTTGCCCCTACTAAATTTCATACATATATTACTTCATTTTAACTGTAAAAAATAAATATTAATTCAGTTGTAAAAAAAACAGACCTATCGCATAATCTGATATGAGCTTTGCATGTAGTAGTGCTATAACGTTAAAAAAAATTCAAAAGGGGGTTCAAACGTTCCACTCGCTGTTCGCTGAAACAAGCTTCCTAGAAGCGAATTGATGGCTTTACCCATATAAACAGGTGCTTTCCTTTGCTGTCCTTGGTGTAGAGAGCATGCACAGGAAGTTCCTCCAGGCTAAGGGTGACTCCCGCCTCGCGATCCGACGAGACACTCCGTAAACAAGCGATTCGCGCGGTGGCACCGGGCACGATCTCGCCAATCGTCTGTACGTTCTTTATACAGTTCTCCCGGTAGTCGGGCAGGGACGCGTATCGAGGAATGTCCTCGATCAAGATCGGAACGTGCGGGATATCGGACGGCAAACGGTTCTCACGAATAGCCAAACACGCCGGCCAGGAGGAAGATCCCAGACACATCCGTTCCATGCCACCGACAGCCATCGACGAAATATCATTGAAGACTGGCAATCTATGCAAAGTGAGTGCAATTCGTGCGTTTGAAAATACGGCAATCCCTTACGTTTGATTGGTCAATTTCACGACGAGCTGAGCCACGTGATTGGCTGGATAGACTCTTGAGCGACAAGCGCTAAAATTCAAGAAAGAATTATTATAAGGTAAAACTGCGTGGCTGTTTAGTAAATTGCTAAAATTTAAACAATTAGTCAATAATATAATATTAATTTTATGGTTTATTATTCTACCAATGTTTTTAGACATGTACATTGTATTTCACCTGTTGAAATCATCTTGTTAATAATTAATATTGATGTAATCATCGTGCTAATAGTTAATTTTATTTAAAAATAAAAACTGCATATTTATAGTTCATTACCATACGTGTTTGATTCTAGAGAGATGGTAAAACAATTGAAAAAACAATGTAATTTTGCGGCAATAATATATGATATTATAGCATTTTAAGTATTCATTAACTTATTTATGAAGCTTATATAATAAAAATCATAATTTTAATAATGTATTATTCAAATAAATTGCAAATTTATGTCAAAAATTGATAACATCGACACTCTGCAATTACCTCCGGGCCCGGCACAAAAATTTGCCCAGGGCTGATGAGTGATGATCTTTAATCTTAGAACATATATGTTCTAATTGTAAATCTAATAGTAACTCATCGGTGGGTAAAATAATTATCATTAATTAAATTTTCGATAAACTATTTCTTTGCAATATTTTACTTTGTTTGACAACAGACTTTAATATAATATAATTTAATAATTTTTCTCATTTATTGAATCAATTATTTGAGATAAATTTATATTGAATAAAATATTTCTTTGTCCTTCAATTTCTTTCTTTATTCAAATTGCAATGTGATTGCTGTGTCGTAACTTACGATATCCCACATGACTTTTATCTCACAATAAAAAATACGTTAAATAATATTTTTATCTTTTGTATATTTTTATATTGAATATTACTCATAGAAAGAAAAAAACTTTTTGAAAAAAAAGGTTGAGATTTATTGAGAGGTTTGATAGGCTTGGTTACAAAACGAGAGGGAGAGAAGTATCTTTATCACATAAATTCAAATGCTCTTTCTCCTTTACTATATCTAACGAGTATAATAATAATGTCGTATGTACAACGTTACGTAATAAACCAAAATTTCATCATAATTTACATTAATGTGGCTGAATATAAAAGAACATTTCCACACTATCCTACAATAGAATATATCAGACTATATATATGTACACACGAGTATTTTGAATCAATTTAACTCGTGAATTTATACATATATCAGTGTATGAAAAATGTACCGTTACATACATCAGTATATGGATAATTTCCGAAAAGTAACAACAAACTTAAAAGGATGAGTAAAATGTATATCCGGCGACGCCTCCTTAAGGTGTACTAGGCAACAATTGTCATCAAATGTTGTTGATGGTAATTGTGCAACGGTGGGACTGAAGCCTTTCATTGCAATAAAAAAAAAAAAATTAATTTAAAAACAATTTTTTAAAATCTAATCTCATATTTTTTAAATCCAATCTTTCAGCAATTAAGTAGCGTTCAGCAAGGCCAAAAACTGACGCCTTAGAGAGACCTAAGATTCCCGGACACGAGTTACTTAACAAAAGTTGTTCAATTTGTGAAATTTTCCACCTTTTTAAATTTGTTCTTTTTCTCATGTGAAAATCCTTTTCTTGAGGAAACACGCTCTATAAATGTACATCCTGTATACAAGATGTCCGCTACTAAAGCAACGCTTATTCGACGAGTAGACTTTAGTAATTAATTTGTCGTAAACTGTTGAGAAAATTGCAAAATGGTACAGGACTTTTCAATTTAGTTCGCTCTATCTATCACACGAGCGCTTTGCCATTTAGTGTACCGGACACCCTGTATACCTGTACCATTTCCCATATACTCCGATACTTAAGTACACACGGTATAACATATGAATCGTTAATCGCATCTAAAACCAGAATTGTAAGGATTCTAAAGCAATCTTCGAGCGATCTTGTGGTGATTTAAAGAATTTTGTGCTTGGACGTAGCAGCTCCGCTATAATTTCGACTCTATTAACTTCAGTAGAAACATTATGAGTAGCAAAATTGTGAATTTTTAACAGGATCGTGTCAAAATTTAGCGAAGATGTCAAATCATCTTTTGAAATCTTTTGCATTAAAAATCTCTAAAGATCCGATAATCGAGATATTCACAGGAGAGAATGCATCGGTCACGAACGCATTATCTAACTTTCCTTTACAATAGTCAAGTCATTATACAATAGTCAAATACTCTGAAGTGAGCTGCATCGGATCGACGGGATACGTCGTTAGGACGCGGACCTTCTGTCCATCCTGCGTCGTGAATTCGATCGCTTGTTCACCATCCGCGAGTTCAGCCTGCTCGATATTCCCCAGCTGATTGATCGTCGCAACGGCCGTCGCGTCGGTATCCTCGTCCTGTAATAATAAAATTATGAATAATACGACTAACAACAACGAGGAGCAGTCAGAAATCGAATTATCAGAATCGGATTTGCAGTTGCAGGTAAAAAAGACGAATGTTATTATTTTTATTATACCAGAAACTGCATTTTTACTTTGCTGTTATCTTGTATATCTAAATTTGTATTAAGAGTTATAATTCAATATTTATATTTTATTATAAAAAAATATTATATTATAAAAAAATAGCGTTAAAGAATTTTATCAACATCATCGAATATAGTTGTATAATTTTAATTATCAATGTATATGTATAAGAACAAGATGCACGAAATTATAATACTAAAAATAAACAGATAAGAATCGAGCGATTCAAGAAATTTGTAGAGTTAAAATAAAGAATTTATAAAAAGCTTATTATATAAATAAAAAAAAAAAAGAATCTCTCCGCGAAAAAACAGATTTTGTTATTAATACTGGAAATTACCTCAAGTGCCTGAACAATTGCTTCCGCGTCGGCTTGAATTGCCGACATCGACTCGATGCTCTTGGTCGCACTCGGACGCACCAAAATTCCGCTTTCTTCCATAGTATCTTCGTCGACATGGATATTTAAGGCTTGGAGTTGTTGGGCGAACATTCCAGGGTGAACCCTAATGATCTGGCTGTCGTTCAATTGGCTGACAAAATGTCCCTGCGAGAAAAGTTGTCGAGCCTCTTGAATGGTCAAGGGAATCGGATTTCCGTGTTCATCCGTGATCTAGAAGTAAAGTAAATTAAAGAATCACAGCTACTTAATTTTCGAAGATTAAATATAATAGCTATTCTTATAAATGTGATATAATAAAAAATTTAATAATTAATTCAATATTTGTAATTTTATTAATATAATTTAACAATAAGATAAAAATACAAATATTTAATTATAACTCTTAATAAAAATTTAGATATTTAAGATAACAACAAAATAAAAATACAGTTTCTAGCATAATAAAAATAATAGCACTCATCTTTCTTACCTGCAACTGCAAATCCGATTCCGATAATTCGATTTCTGACTGTTCCTCGTTGTTATTGACCATATTATTCGTAATTTTATTAGTAATGATTTCGTTGCTCTCCAAACGCGACAAGGAATTCGCATTTACCGTGATCTCGTCTTTGTTTTTAATCATGTTAGCGTCCACTAAATTTCAATAATCGAATTAATATAATGATAAGTTAGTAGACAATCAATTAACAAATTCATTAATACAATTGTTTTCGTACCTAAATGTAGTGTTTGCGATTGATTAGGATCGTCAGGATCCTGGTAAGATACATAAATTATCTGTTGAACTCCATCATTGGACGTCTCGTCAGTGGTTATAATTTGATCATTTAACGTCTGTTCGTTCCCTCGTGAATTCGGCAGAATTTGCCATACCTCGCCGATCGGGGATCCTTCATCCGATCTGTTCACAGTTACTATCTTGTTTTCTCTGTGTACCTGTAGAAATCGATAGTTTATTATTATTGATTATATCGACAAAACTTTTGAAAAGTGAAATCGTTATAGTACCTTTTTGTGTTTTGTCAGATTTGAACAGTCGGCGAAAGCTTTACCGCACACGTCGCAAGAATAAGGCTTTTCACCTACAAAAAAAAAAACAAAATAATTAATATATTAATATTTTATAATTTTATGTGTGAAAGTCGAAACGAGATACAAAAACAAAGGCATTCATTCATATTTTTTTTTGTTCATTAAATTCTTTTACTTTTTAATTTAAGACACGGTTCGTTATTTTTTCGATTACCTGTGTGCAAGCGAATATGTTTCTTCAGCGCCCACTGCTCTGTGAATCTACGGTTGCACTGGCTGCACTGGAACGGCCGTTCTCCCTTGTGTCGGCGCACGTGACACTTCCACGTGTCCTTGTGTAAGAAGGTCTTTGCGCAGAACTCGCATTTCCACGGTCGCTCACCGGTATGCCGTTTCACGTGCAGCTTGAATTGCGACGACGTGGTGAACTTCCGACCGCAGAAGTGGCAACTGTACGGTTTTTCGCCGGTGTGAATGCGCATGTGTTCCTGCAAATTGCCGTTCTGCGAGAAGCTCTTCTGGCATACCGAGCAGGTGTACGGTTTCTGACCGCTGTGCCATCTAAAACAGCGATGCAATTTTTATGATATTTTATTTATTAGTCGATAGCTAATTAAATCTTAATTAATTCAAATATTCAAGTAGAAAAATTAATTAAAAAGTACAATTTTTTTACTTAAGTTTCCGCAAATTTAAGAGCGCACTTCTTTCTCGATATCGTGAAATTTTTATTAAAAATGAGTGATGCATTCAATTACCTGTAATGCAAAGTGAGACTAGTCTTGTGCGCGAACTGTTGCTTGCAAATCTCGCAGACATATTTCTTGTGTCCCGTGTGAGTGGACTGATGATTAATCAGGTTTGCCTTCGTCTTGAAGCTGGAGTTACAAAACTTGCAGGCGTGCGGCCGATTGTCCGAGTGCACCAGCTGATGGCGCTGAAGCAACTGTTTGTGCTTGAAACTTTTGTTGCATTTGTTGCAGACGAAACGACGCCCGTTGTTGTGCTCGGCTTCCTTGTGATACAAGACGGAGCTCGGATGGTTTAGTACCTTGCCGCAGATATCGCAAGCGTAGTCCTTATCCGATTTGACTTTCTGCAACATTATTACAAAGATCTAAGACGCACTAGAAATACTATGTGCAATTTTAGAAAAGAAACCGTAAAATTATTATGAAAAAGTATTTAAGAAAATTCAGATCATCTTTTCAATAATTTCTAAATTGTTATATTCTGTCATTTTGACGTAGTTTAAATAAAAAACACAAACCCCGTGCGTTGTCATGTGCGTCTTCAAATCCGATTGACTTGTAAAAGTTTTGTTACACGTGTTACAGATGAACTCCTGCTGCTCGTGCACCTTCACATGCAATTCGTACTCCTGCTTCAGTCCAAATTGCTTGTCACATCTTTCGCACTTGTAATTCGCATTTCTGGAACCTCCTGCTATCTCGAGTGTCACCGTGGAAGCGCTCTGCTCTGTGCTGGGCGTCTCATGTGGCTCCTGCGCCTCAATATTTTCCTTGGTGGGATTTGAATTATGTTGAGTCTTTTGGTGCAGTTCCAGATTATCTTTACTGTCAAACTGCTTCTTGCATTGTGTACACTCGTGCTTGCCACTCTTATGGAAACTCCTAAAATAATTAAAACATAAAAAACGCTTTGAAAATTGAATGTAAAAGAAATGTTAAAAATCTTGTTTTTATCAAAAATTTTATAGAGCATTTACAAATATAAGCATGTAATTGACATGCATAAAATTCAAAATTACAAAATAAAACATACGAAAAATTTAGTTTTCACAAAAAAAAAAAAACAATTTCTTTTATGTTCGAGTTTCCAAGCTCTTTGTACAGGAATTGATTTGCGTGTAGAAAATGATATTACTTATGTACTATGTATCTGCTACGTTGTAGGAAACCCCTGCCGCAGAGTTGGCACGTGAACTTATTTTTACGACGGCGCAGTTTTGATTTCGGTCGTATTCGTCCACGGTTCACAATCACCACCTCACCCAAGTCTGTACCCTCTTCGGTTTCGAGATGACCTATTATTTCTGTAAAATATGAATGATACGCACGAATAGAGAAAAAATTTCTTTTTTTTCAAAATTATTTAATTGATGTTTTAACCATTTAAATTACCTTCCTGACCATCCTGGCTGGAAGCTTTCAACAAATCTTCTGGATCGTCAAATAATTCGGAATCATTATCGTCCTCCTCATCGATCACACCTTCCTCCTTGAATATCCTTTCCAATTCTTTGCCTTGTACCGCTTCTAGAAATCTGAGCAAATTCGATCAATAATCGTGTAAATTATAATCTAAAAGTTTTCATTCTGTAATACCTTTTGGGAACTTTGCGCTTTCTTCTGCGTCTACCATCGCCATCCACCTCTTCTTCTTCCTCCTGCTTATCCTCTTCGCCTTGACTCACAGCTTCTGCAGAATTCTCTTTTGTCACCTTATATAGAATATGTACAAATAAATACATTACATAATGTATGGCGTTATATAATACAGGTAACGTTACAATTTATTATTACAAACCATAGAATCTGCATCTGCGGGTACTTTAGGTGGACGTCCGCGTTTTCTTCTTGGCTTAGTCAAGCCTTCCATCTGCAAACTCATTTCATGCTCCGCTGTGTACATAGATCCATCTGGCATAACTGTAATAAAAATATTGAAATAATATCATATATAACAATAAAATTACATAAAATATTACAGTTTCACAAAACAAGTGATACACAAAGGAAAAATTGTATTACTTTTAATAATCATTTGTTGCTCATGTTGCTCATCCTGATTATATTGAGCCATACTATCCATTTCCACTCCATCCGCCCCAAACTCCGCATTTTCCTTTCGATTGCGCGAGCGTTCTGTCTTGCGCTGCTGTTCGACCTGGTGTTTCCAAAGTTCGCGTATTTTGCGCTGACCAGCCACCAATAACTCAAAGAATTGCGCTGTCGCTTCCAGTTGGATGTTACAGCCCGGACAAATTGTCTGTGGTAATTTCCCATCGTCGTGAATCTAAAATTTGCAGGTTCATAGTTTGCAAATACATACTATAAAATAAAAGAGCTTGCTGCAACAGTGAGTTGATCCACATTTTGTAACAATAGAGAAAACTGTAAAATTAAAATGATGAACTTTGGAGTACATTTTCTACGTTTTTATAAAATGTTGTAAAATGGGTTCTCACTGCTGCAGCAGGCCCTTCAAATATAATTTGTAGAAATATTCTATATGAACTATCTGTATATTACAAATCTTTCAATGTTTCCATATAAAATTAAGATAATGTGTCAATATAGACAAATTGTTCATATCTCAGTGTATTCAAGTAAAAATATCAAGACAAAATATTATATATTTAACATATAAACAGCAATTACATGAAATAATCAAATACTTTGTTTAGCAGAGAGGGAGAGAGAGAGAAAGAGAGAGAGAGGGAGAGGGAAAAAGAAAAAGGGGGGAAGAAGGAAAGAAAGGAGAGAAAGAGGGAGAGGGAGAGGAAGAGAGAGAGAGAGGAAAAAGGGAGCAAAAGATCAGAACAAAAAAGCTAACAAATAATCAAATAAGTGATGCATAAGACAATGAACATTTGATCAGTGCAGTAACTGCATGGAAGACTCATCGAAAATCGGAGTAGGAAATCAAGTTGCGGTCCGTTCGACCGGCGTTTTGAAAACACAGCGCCTCACCTTCAGCGGTAAATAACGGTTGACCAGCGAGCAGAGATCCGACTCGCCTGCCTCGCTGACGAACAGATGCTCGTTGCCGTTGTCCGCCGCGCATAAACGGCAGATCGTCGAGTCGTACAGATGCACACCTACCATGTTACTGTCGATAGAGCGAAACAACGATACGCCGGGACTGAATTGTCGCGAGAGAAGTCGAGGTGATGTCCGAAGAAAAATGGAAAAAGAAATATTACGAATTTACGCGAGATCGACGATGCCAAAATTACGGTGCGCGTTACCATTATTTTGTTTATACAACGTCGCATGAACGCGCCAATGCCCGTCCCGAACGTTCGGGAAGAAATGTCGCGTCAGGACGATGGTTAGGTCGGTGGTTAGGTTAGGTTAACCTCTCGCGACTCTCGCCCCGCGCCATTATATATTCTTCATTCTTGTCGTTGGCTCCGAGTGACTGAGCCAATCACAACGAAGCGTCACTGATCCGGTCTGGAGTCCCTAGCTAGGGACTTTAATCCGGTCTGTCTGAACGCGCCCATTGGACACTCAGTGATTTTACGTTACGATTGGCTGTCATGTGAAAATTCAAATGGCACAGTGCAATCGCGTGATTTTATCCAATCAGGATCCACGATCAAAATCCATTGTATAGGTTATATTTTAATAGTACATATACAGATTCATAATAAAATAAAAATAGCGGCGGCGACCCAATTGATTAAATCGCAGCGTAATCAAACGAAAGTAAATTCGCCCGCTACCGTAATTTTCAATTTCCAGAGAATCATAACAGAAGCCAAGAATTTATTGCACATAAAATTTATTATAGGATGTATAATTTATTACATTTATTATGTGAAACATTTAAACATACATTTTTTGTCGATAAAATAGATAAGTTTTAATATGTGATAATTCTGATAATCTCATGTTTATTTAGCAAGAACAAAGATTAAAGAGAATCTAAAGAAAAGCTTTTGGTATTTTAAAACCAATAAGATTTGAAAAGTTTTCGTTAAAATCTTCTGTTCCAAATAAAAAAATTATTTATTTCTATTTCCTTTCCTGTTTGATGTTTACATAATTAGATATATGTGTTTATCATCTGTTGTTTATGAGAATTAAATGCTTTCAAAGTATATCATCAACAAAATATCATCAAACCACAAAATTGCGAGATCGTTCAGCGAAAACTTCTTCAATTCTTTGAGAAAACAGCATGAAAACTGGGCGTCAATGGATAGCAATTATTTCTCCAGGGTCGATGATGAAAGCAATTTCAGCAACATCCTACAAATAAATAATTGTTTTTTTATTGTATAAATCTGTCAATCCTTTGCTTTATTAATAAGTATATAATTTCTCAATTTAGTAATATATATGCAACATTACATGCAACTATTTAAAGCATATTTAACTGTATATCAATTATTCTATTGAAATTATAGTAATTTTTTGCTGTTAAAAAAATGATGCCTAATGGAATGCACATATGTATATATATATATATATACAAATTGGTCACTAAATATATATATATATATATATTTAGTGACCAATTTGTAAGTTGAACAATTATTAAATATGCATTTTCATAACATTCTGTAATTTAGTTATCTTTTTTACAAAAGTTATTCTTAAAAATAATGTAAAATGTGAGAAAAAGATTTAAAAAATCATTATCGGTAAAATTGATAAGTTTTAAGGGAAATACAATACATTGACAAAACAAATGCTCTTACCTCCGTTTAACACTTTAATTTTTCTCAGCTTCTGTGTTTTTTGGTTGATCGTTTTTATCTTTAGTTTGTAATGCAAGGCGTCCAAGTTGCGTTTTTAATAAATGCAAACAACCACCTGAAATCAGTTTATCCTTTTGCAATCGATCAAACAATTCAATTATTAACATAACTTTCTCGTTAAGTCTTCTCAACTTCTGCTGGAATGTTTTATTTTTCACTTTCGCTTCCTTCAGAGATATCGATAACAGCTTTATCTTCTTTGTAGCGTCAATAGAATCCTCTTTCTTATTCTTCATTTTGTAATTAATGGAACTCTGTGAAACCTTTTGTGTGATATCTTTTAAATCAACATTGTTTGTCATGGTGCTGTTGTCCCTTGAATAGCTGTGATCCAATGCAGTACTTTTATCCAAGACACAAGCTTCTTTGGAGCTTACAGATTTACTACCGCTTGGAACACTGCAAATCGCTCTTGTATCAACTTGTATAATTTGGTCTTTTTTATTTAGGTGAGGAATCGCTTTTTGAACCAATTGATTTGAATCTGAACGAGTTAAGCTGGAGCTTACAGACTTACTACTGTTTGCGACATTGCAAATCTCTTTTGAATCAATTTGCGTAAGCTTGTCCTTTTTCTCTAGGTGAGGAATTGCTTTTCGAACCGATTGATTTGAATCCGCAATCTGGATATTAAAAGTATTTGGTCCAACATTTTTTATCATAATTTCAATATTATTATTCTTTGAAATCTTAAAATTGTTGTGATTCGATGCAGCACTTTTCTCCAAGACACGAGGAACTTCATTGGGGCCTACAGATTTGCTACTGCTTGCGACATTGTAAATCTCTCTTGAATCAGCTTGTATACTTTGTACAGTTGTCTTGTACAGTTTGTCTTGCTTATCTAGGTGAGGAGTTGCTTTCTGAACCGATTGAGTTGAATTTGAACAGACTTGACTGGAGCTTACAGATTTACTGCTGCTTGCAACATTGCAAACACTTGCATATTTATTAAAACTTGTAGCATTGCAGTTCTCCTTTGGCTTTGCATTATCAATCTGTTCTCTTTCTTTGATAAATGTAGGATAATCTTTCGGCACTGCGTCTTTATGTATATAGGAACGCCGATATCCCATTCCCTGTATAAGGTCCTTGTCATAGAAATGCCAATCGCAAATTCTGCTTGCTCTCGACGGTTTCCAATTTGGTTTTCCAACAGCAGCAATCCATTTGTCCAGACGGTCTTTAGCGTGCAGAGGAAACCTGTAACATTTATATAGAATAACACTATCCTTCAAATTTCAAAGAGATTTTTTTAAATATTGAATTAAATTAATACAGTACGTGTTTATAAAGTGTTTGTAGTTGAGGTTATAAATAAAACAAGAGCAATGGCAAAATCTACCTTCCTACATGAATAACCAGTAATAAGCCTTTTTTTTAAATTTTATTCTTCTGAGCCAATAATCTTTGTTCAATTTTTAAGATTTTAGATATATTAAGTTCAATATATTGTACATATGCAATATAAAATAATAGAATATCATCTCTTAACTTAATCTAACCTATCGTCACAACACAAATATATACATATACATTACTTACCGGAAAGTATGTACCTTACTTCCTGGTTTGCGATAGCTTTGACATTTTTTTACACAGCAAGGCATTGTTTTATATTATAATTTTTGATAGTTTAACAGATAAGGAAAATCACTACGACGCGATATCTTTCTTTCTTTTATGCGAGTATAACAATTTATGATATTGAGCCATTAAGGATCAGTTTGTCAGTTGTTTTGCTAGATGGCACTGAAATCATTCAATGTTTACTCTTGGAGAGGAGCGCAAAAGCAGAAAACAGTCGGCGGATTCAGAGGTTACATATTTATTCAAATTCATTTGTATTTCTAAGGTATTTATTAAGTTAGATAAAATAATTTACAAAATTTACATGCTTCATATTATGCGGTAACATTAAGAATATAAATAATTATGTGTAAATCTAAATTATATACAATTTTCTAAAATGCAAAATTTATAACGCAGTTACAATTTCTAAAATTTTAACAAGTTAAATACAAGATATTTCAAAATTATAAATTATAAGTAGATATAATTGAAAGTGACAACATAAAAAAATAGTAATGTATAATAATAAATTATTATTATACTTATAATAATTTATTATTATAATGTATAATAATAAATTATTATTATTATACATGTTACTATTTTTTATGTCACTTTTAATTATATCTACTTATATATAATTATAATTATAATAATAGTCTTAGTAAACAGATCCGCAATTTAGGTTTTCTTGTGATATTTGATTCATTCAGGAGGCGACATTTTTGCAAACTCATGAGGATATGAGAATATCTTTCTCTCTGGTGTTGTGCCTGTTTATTATATATTAAAAAGCGAAAATGACTTATTAGATAATAACTAAATAAACGTTTCACTGTTTTCTTTAAATATATTTTAAAACAGCTTCAAGTCTTGAGCGTCAAATATTAAGAATATAATGTGCTTTTATATTATTTATGTGTTCGCTATTTAATTAAACAAATTATAAATAATGAGATATTTCCTTAATTTATTACGATTCTAATCTATCCATTCACTTTATCAAAATAAAATAATAAATAAATAAAGTAAACCTGTACCTGTACAAATATCGCGACAATAATCTTCAGTCAAGAATTTGTCGATTTGCTTTTGTGACGCGCGCAATTTTTCGATTATGTTATTATTACAGTTACTTAATTCCGTGCGTTTATTCGTGAAAATGTCGTTCATCATCCTGGAACCATCTGTAATCTTATTTTGCTGTTCTTGCATAAATCTAATATGATTCAGACCCATGTTTTCAATCATTGTAAAGGTGTCCTGTAAAACAAAAATATAAATAAATTATTAAATTCGTTACAATAAGTAAATCAAATTAGTGTTGGGGAATCCTTTATGTACGTACAGCACTTGAACTAAGTATTTTATCTGTATCTTTGGCCATCTTCTCTTGCAATTGCTTTCCACCAAATGTTATATTATTGTTGTATCTCTTTAATGTGTCACACTCTGTACTTAAGCGTTCTTGTAAATTGGTGACCAAGGCATTTCCCTTTTCAGTGACAGTTTTATTTGCTGTTTCTACCTATTAACAAAAAACGCGATAAATTAATTTATGAGAATGACTTTACGTAATATTAGTTACGATTCTAATATCATTTCAACCCTATTTCGGAAATATTATGGACAATAACGATGAGTTACCTGATTAATGACACCGTCAATATCATTTTTAATGAGAGATGCAGTACAGTGTAGAAAATCCTTTAAATCGTTTTGTTTTACTACTTCTGCATTATAACCGTGTACATGTTGATCATATACATTATTGCAAACCTCATCAATTTGATGAGACGTTTTAGCAATTTCGGAATATCTAATTGTATCACAATTATCTAAGATATTAAGATTGTCCGATACAGTCTTCATTTCCTATAAACAAATATATATATATTATATATATATGTATGTATATATATATATATATTATAATAATATTGTCATGTTAATTATGTAGTGTTAATATGAGATATTTAAATATATATAATATATGATCTCAACTATATACCTTTCTGAATTTTTTGTAATCTTCTGTTATTTGTTTTTTATTTTGTAATATTTTGTAAATATGCTCGCCAATCTCGTTTAAATCCTTACGCATGCAATGATATTCCTTAAGACGACGGCTACAGATAGTCTCTACGGCAGATTTCGTGTACGCTGACATACTCTCCAATTTCTCAGTAATGTTTCTGCCTAACAGTTGTAAATCCTGCTTAAAACTGTCGTAATTCGGTCCGAATAGATTGAGTATATCTGGTGCCAGTTTCGAGTTAATATCAGCTAACTCCCTATTCTCGTTCTCCATTACAACTGACGTATCTTGCATGCGTGTACTTAACACTTTTTGACAGTTTGTATACTGAAAACGTACGAACGTTGAAACATTTTTTAACATAATTTGTATTACATTGTTCAACAAAAAAAAAATGCACAGTTATATCCCCCAATATACTAAAATAGCCCTTCTTTACAACTTTAAAACAACGCAAATTACTTCAAATTACGACACGATAGAGCAATTAAATAAATAAACGGGATTGTATTTTACATCAAAAGAAAAAAAAATTACTGGAAAACAACTGTTCTCGTTCTTGTGTTAAAAAAAAGTCACTTTTTTGTTGGACATTATTATTAGTGTGCAATGACTTATGTCGCTAAAAACTTACTAAGGTATTTACGTTCCTCTTTGCTTTTTTACTTTCGATAAAATGCTGATGTACTACATGATCCATCGTCGAGCGAATCGATTCCTCTATATTTGCAGCTTGTGCAGCTATATGTGTTTCTACGAAAGGTTCATTCATTAAAAAAAAACATTTTCTTTTACGATGCCAAAATTGCGAGATTACTTGCGAAAAGTTCTTAGACTTACCAATTTTGTCTTTTGTAGATTGAAGAAGCGTGTGAATTTCTTTCTGATAAGCCGAAAATACATCTTCGATGTTCTCGCAACGTTTTGTAAACCCACTCCACATTTGCAATGCGAGTTTTTTGTTTTTCTCCTGCACCTCTCTATATTGCCATTAATCTCATTAATAAATAAATTCAATGAATAATCTTAAGTAAAAAGTTCAATTTCAACTAGTTGAAGGCAAGAGCAAATGCATAAATGCATTTGTGCACGGAAAGAATGATATTGCTTATCTAAAAATTTAGTTATAAATTTAGTTATAAATACAGATCTGAAAATAATTTTTTGAGGACCGAAATAATTATATTGAACTCGTCAAGCTGGTTATACTAGAATATTTTAATAGTCCTTTATAATTATTTTCAGATCTATATCTAGCTAAATTTTCACTTCAGCAAAACTTCTTTCCGTGCGGTGTAATACAGAAATATATTTCAATATATCAATTAAAATGAAATACCCCGTAAAGATTTATGTTTTTAAAGACCTACGTTTTATAATCAATTTTGTCATGTAATTTTTGCACATCTCTGGTTACTTCATCTATTACATTTGTAATGGTTTCTATTTGACCTCGCAAAAGCTTTTCAGTTTCGACATGCTTCTCCACAAGTCGTTTTTGCTTGTTCTTGTCGCATTCGATTTTGGTCAAAGACTCTTTCGTTGATAGTAGGAACTCCTTCGTATCATTTAATTGATCCATACTTTTTGCCAGCTCATTCACTCGAGCATCGTATTGCGATTGTAAATCGTCAAATATTTTCTGCACTCGAATAAAATATAATATATGCGACAATAATCGAGATTGACGATGAAAGTTTAATCACAAAATATATTTTATTTTCAAATTTTAAACTCCAAAATTTAAAATAAAAATACCTCATTCAGAGAAAAACAGTAAAAATTTATATGAGAAAAATAGTGTTTGAAATCAATTCGGTTGATTTTAATTTCGATTAAAAGATTATTCGATCAAATTAGCGGTTTTTAAACAAATACAAAAGGTAAAAAGAAAATAATGATACGTGATAATGAAATGTGATAATGAAAACTTAATTTTTAATAATTTTTTCACCAGAGAACTGTTAAAAATAATTTACAAATAAAAGTTATTAAAAATCGGAAGTATACACGATCGCATTTCGTTACCCTCTGTATCTTTTTTTTTTTCAAGCCTTTTCGTTCCTTTTCAAAACATTTAATGTGCGGCTGCGAGACCTCTGTCGAGGTCGAAATAATCTCTGGCGTAAACATACCTTTTTGTCTTCCACAACGTTTTCTAGTACTTTACAATAGCTCGTCTTTTCCTTTATCTCGCTCCTCTGGCTGTCGATCAACATTTGCATAGCGTCGTAATCGTTAAACGATACGTACATGCCGTTCCTCTCGCGCGTTGCCACGAGATCCTTCCTGAGCCTCTCGATCTCGTTGGTGTACTCCTTCAGCATCGCTCGCTTGCATACCCTCTGATTGAGCTCGGGACAATTGGTGATGTTTTTCGCCCGATGGGCGTAATCCAACGTCGACAACGTCTCCTCGAGATTACTGCTGACGGACGAGACGGTCGCGATTATCGACGTCTTCGTTCGCCCACCCAGCGACTCCTGCAGCAGCCGGGTGAGCTTCGACTCGCGGTACGGTATGTGAGGCGCCTTCTCCACGAGGGCGGTTATCACCCTGCCGAGGGTCAGCAGGGACTGATTGATACTCCTGGACTCTCGCGCCCTCTTGTCGACCGCCCCGGACCGGCCGACGTGCTCGCTACCGGCTAGGTCCACCAGGTTCAACCTCGCCGTCTTCATCAGCTCCTCGCCGCCGCCGGTGCTCTCCTTCGTGTATACCGTTATGGAGAACACCGTGTGCGAGCGGCTCGAGTTCGCGTTCAGCATCGTCACCGCGGTCTGCCGTCTCTGCGAGCCCTTCTCAAGGATCCTGTAGATCTCGGCCTTGCTGTAAACGGTCACCGTCTCCAGGCCGTGAACAATAACCGAGCCCTTCTTCGTCACGTCGTCGTACAGCTTGATCGTCCTCGACGGCGGGACGTCGTCCGCCAGCAGATCGAGCAGCTCCTCGTTGTACAATTCTAGGAAGGTCACGTGAACGACGTACTGCCGATTCTCCAGCAGCTGCAGCTCGTCGAAGAGGTGGCTCAGGCAACGGGGTATCACGCCGGCGGACGTGTCGCTCTGCCAGTTCGAATTGTCCACGCGATCGCCCTCCATCGTGTACGTTTTCCCCGTGCCGGTCTGGCCGTAGGCGAACACGGTGCAACTGTATCCGGCGATGACTTCCTTCAGCAGCGGGCTGACCACCGTGTTGTACACGTCCACCTGAGTCGACGTGGGACCAAAGACACCGTCGAATGTGAACATTCTCGACGATTTGTTCTCCTGCGATCGCTCGTAGACCATTATCTCCTTGTCGGATATCATCTCCACCACGCATTTCTCCTGCACGCCCGTCGTGCTTACGGGCCTATTATACATTGGAAAATAAAATTATAATATTTGTGATGGACAAGGCCGAAGATGGCCAACTGAATTATTTATTATTATTAAACGATAATTAACTTTGCTTAATTTAATATATACGAATACCTAACGTAATCTGTTTGCTTATCAAAATAGATCTGTCATAGTTTGCGATAAAATTTCAAAGACTTTCTTTAATCTACTATAAAAATTTGCAGAACATAAAGTAACATGTTTGTACATTTATTTTTTTAGAATTTACTGAATTAAGAAATATTACAGTATATATATTAGATGTTAATTTAATCTGTATCTCTTACAATTAATACACTATTATATGAATAAAAAAAATAATAAAAATGTTGGGATGTGCGAGCATCGCAGTAAGATTTGTAAAGTACGAATTAAGTAATACAAACACATGCGATTTATATTTTATTTTTCAAATGGAAAATAATCTCCAATAATAATGTTAATTGTTTTAAACAAGCTCTATGGTTTTAAACCAAAATTTTAATTTTCTATGTCACGGACGAAGCGATTAAACAGCCGTTGTTTACATCGGTTCGTCACGCGAGTTCACGCGATCACAATTGAAATAACAACTTGTGGAAAAACAAACTGTGTACTAATCGATAACATCGAGCATTTGTACTATATTTACATTTTTTGTATTTTGCCTCCGTTGATTTCAGTTCGAAATTGTTACTTTTGAAAATCAGTGCTTAATTAAATCTCATACTTGATCTTCGTTAAAAAAAGGTGTTTGTTAGTGTTAATTAAAAACGAAAAATAATTTCTTTTTTTTATATAGAATAATTAATTCTAGAATATAATATATATTTTTATGACATAAAGAATCAAAATTGTTTGAAATATTAAATTAACATTTCCCCTGTGTCGAGATAATTAGAATATCTTTACAGTAAATAGAATAGCAATAATAATGACAATAGCAGCAAATATATAGTATATGCATTACGTGAACAGAAAGTGATAATTAAATAATATCTATGAAATTCTTATCGTTCTTCGATGATGGAATTATTAACTCAAACAAATATTATAGATAAAATCCTCACTTTTTATTAAAAGAGTATGAGATAATCATTTACTTAACAAACGGAAAGTTCTATGTACTTCCTTCAATTATATATTTATTTATAACGAGCAAGTGACCGATAATTAATTGTCACCTCCAACTTACTTGATGCGCACGAACACGTTGATGCGCTGATCTTTCTCCTTCGACATCCTCGCGAACGGAGATATATTATATAGCTTATAATCTGTATCAGATAATTCTCTGACGGTCGTGATATGCGCGACGATCCTCCGACAAAGTCAAAGCTTTGTATATGTACTATTGAAAGACTGAACTGGCATCGCGGCGAGCAGCGGCGAGCGGTATTTAAATGCCGGCTTGGACACTGGACAGCTGGCTGCGTTTCTTCACTCATGCGCGACACCGCGGCAACTGATACAACCAGAGAGAAACCTGAGCCTTCTCTCTGTACCCGAGAGATAACGTGACGGCCTTTTTCCTGTTTTACCGCAAACCTCGCGTACTAACGCCCTCTTGAAGAAGTGGATGTAAACTACTGGTAGCAAAATCCACTTTTCTGCACCGCGGGTATACAATTTTGTGGTGCGTGTCCGTGCTACCACCTGTCGAGACTCCTGGGACTTTATTCTTGAAAAGTTGCGCATTCGAAAACACATCTGCATGTGTTATTAAAAAGTGTTATAAAATGCCATCGTTGTGTGAACTCTGATTTGTCTGCCGCGTTTACTCTTTCATTGTATAAAAAGTCTAAATACAATCTATATAAGTTGAAATAGATTAATAAGTTTTCAAAATGTCACCCTCGGGATAATGTGTAGCTCCGTGTGGGAGCGATTGACTATGAACCGGCAGGTTCCGGGTTTCGATCCCGACTATCCCACATATGTATATCTTCGATTTAATCGAAGAGATTTGAAGATAATTAAGGTTTCCGTCGTATTGTTGGAATACGTGTGACGATATGCTATGAATGAGTAAACTGATCCGTGATGCAACTGCAATAATGAGCAGCAAATGGCAACGAGGGTATATATATGTTCTTCTAATAAATTATTATAAAGCAATTTATAGACATTATCCTGATCGAGGAATTACAGACGAGAAGATATCACATATGCAATGCATATAATATACATATATCTGCAATTATAATATAATATACATTATATGTGTTAACATATATAATGTACTTCTCACGCTTGTACATACTCGATCAGGATAACGTTGCAACAAATTGCATTATAATTTTTTTGATCGGTATTGAAATGCATTATCCTATTTCCCCAAATATTGAATGTTCATTTTTATTTACTGCAGTAGATTATATGTAGACTGTTAGTCCATTTGACGCAACAAAATGCTTCGAAGCGTTTTTTGATCAGTCAGTTTATAAAATTCTTTATGCCGATTGATCAAACGCTTCGAAGCATTTGTAGTATCATGTGGATCGCATTTTTTATAGTCAGTCTTCGCTTATACTACTAAATATATATATATACTTTTTCTCAAATATATATACATATACAAATATATATTCATCTCGTTTTAAGTGTAAAAATTTTTATTAAGGAATTTCAAGCAACGCGAACAAGATCAGTCCGATATATGTGCTGCCAGTACTGAAAATCTATAGTATACGTTACGCGAATTATAGATTAGTACTGGCATGACTGGCAGTGCCTCTTTATATATATATGTATACGAGATACAGTGATTTTTGACATCTACAGCAGTGCTATTGGACAACTTGTATAGTTGACTCATCATTTGTTACATATACATTCACAGAAGCGTAAATCAAGCGTAATTCTTCGCTACGAATAAAAGTAATGCGAAGAACTGTATCAAAATCTTTTGGTGCCTGCCTTTAAAACATTTTAATGAATATGTTTCGTCTTGTCGTGACAAGGGCGAATTGAAGGAATGTCCTGCAACACGTGCCAAGTGAAATTTTCGTTCTTCACGAGAGACGTGAGTACAATGTAGCAATGCTTCGTTCGGCTCGAATATAGGTTAATCTAACGAAGTGACACACGTCGTCGTTAGAAGGAATCTGCTTGTTTATTTATTTTAATTATGCTATGTCGCTCAGATCGGTTGCCCGGGCTGCGGCTTCTCTTGCTGCAGCAAATGTCTCAAGTACAAATGCGATATTCCTGATGTAGGGAGAAGGAAGGTCTGTGGACGTTGTCATAACAAGTTGAGCAATATGAGGAAGTCGAGCGCCGATGATGCCACCGCGGACGATCCTCGTACGCCTGGCGTGAACGAAGAGCCGCTCGCGCCAATTGACATCACTATGAAGTAAGAGAAAATTAATCCTCTGCTGGGCATCTGAGAACGGAGCTTGATTGTCACGCGTAAAATATATTTAAGGAATATGATGTTTTGCCTAATGTTGAATGTGCCTTTAACAGGCTGGATTCATTGGAGAATCCAGTGAAGCCTCCAATAGTGATATATAAACATACGAATCATTGGGACAAACTCAAGATGGGATTGGAGCCGGCCGATCAACAAATTGTGGACAGATTGCGAAAGCTAAAGGATGAGGAACGAAATGTTTCGTTGCCAACCGTCGGGCAGATACAACAGAGATTGGCATTGTTGAAAGATCAAAATCCAGAGGCTGGTGGAAGTAACGTCATAAATGTACGTGACATTGTGTAAATATAAATAAGAAAGGAATCTTTATTCAGTTGAAGCAAAGAATCTTGGTGCTTAATAATATATATTTCTCTGTTAATTTCAATGAATATATTTCTTGATTCTGTAAATCGCGCGCCAATTTGATTGTCAATCTTAAGGATAAATTCCTACTGAGCATGTCATGCGTGTCATATGTCACGCCGTCAATCAAAACAACATTTTCTTTGCCTTATTTGCCATGTGACTCCTTAGTTTTTGCATGACATATCGGTTAGGTCACTTGACATTGTAGAAATAAAAAAATTTTTCCTTTGCATGAGATGCTTGGATTGTGTGTATTCGTTATGTCACGAGTCATAGAAGGTATTCGAGCATTATTCGTAAGTTCCAATTTATTATTTTAACTAGATGATATTCCTAAGTTTCAGAAACAATTGATGGTACATTTTATTTTAACTTAATTCAAATTTTGTGCTAGTTTGTTAGTTATGTCATACCCTGCTTAACATAGAAAATCATTAATTTTCGTATATATATGTACAAAAACAGAGAAGTTACGCTTATGTTGTTATGTTATGCTATCCGATTTTACCTCCCTACTTTCCAAACCAAGCATCTTAAATTTACAAAGAATACTATTACATAGAAATATTATTAAGCACCCAAAATTCTGCTCTGATCAAATAAAGGCTTTTTTCTTATTTGTATCACTTATCTAATTTTCATTATTATCGTGCATAATTGCTTTACGTGGACTTTTATGGATTGATTATTACAGATTCATCAAGTAGATACTAGAACGGATCAAGAAAAAGTGGACGATTTGATTCGGCAGTACGCTGCGGAAGCGCAAATGGAAGCAGATGATTTGAGTGAGAATGAGTCTTTAGAAGCGGAAATGGACGGAGAGGATTACCTTTCAGGAGCGCGGGGACCTTCAACTAGCGATGTTTGTAAAGATATTGAGAAGAGGCTCAGCTCGTTACAAGAGAATGGCAGTAAAACTGTGAGTGGATGAAATGGTGACTCTTGAAATGTAAAATTACAACCGTCAATCTTATCCCTTCCAGCGTTTTGATCGAGGCATGAATGTCGACAAGGAGAAATGTGATACGACAAGCAGTGACAATATGGATTTGATTAACAAGATTTCGGCGATGGAAATAGAAGTATGTATTAGTTATTTGTGAATAATTAATTAAGCGTGTACCTTTAGCTCTTTTCGTTTCTAATTCACTCCACAGTAATTCAATATGAATTAATTTTCCATGAGAATAGATACATTTATGCTCCAATAAATTACAATAATAAATTATATATTCATTCTAATTATATATTTGAATTTAGTAAATAATTATTATGTTTCTGTTTAAAAAAATCCAGACCCCTCCGACCATAGAAGACGAGGATGAGGACGAGGATGAAAATGAATGCGTCCTGTGCTCGCGAACTGCGAACGAATCTGACCTGTATAGATGCACAGGTTGCACTAGTGACCTGTACTGTCCCTCCTGCTTCGAGAGTTCTCACGAGGAAAGTGAAATGATGGACCAGCACAAGGCAGTTCGGTTTATCAAGGAAGATAAAGATAATTTGTCCTCTGCAAAGATGAGCCTTATACGAAAATTATTAACGTCAGATAAGAAGAGCAGTCACTGATAATTCCATTACTGCATTATGCAAAAGTCTTTTTAGAAACGATTTTACGCTGCTTTATATCGTTGATGGCAGCTGCAATTGGAGACTACGCACGGGACTGTAATTGAAAACATTCGCTTCTAACAAACGTACAAAAATAATTGATTCAAAAAATTTTTCCCCCGATTGCTTAACGTAGATTCTTTCGGTCTCTGAAAATTGAAAGTATGCTTTAACACTCGCTTTTGGCAATGTCGTCCTGTAATTGTGATAATTCTTATTCATTTGTTAGTTTTACTAATATTATACGAGAGAGAGATATAGTAATGCACACTCATGTACAAGGCAGTGTAGTCAGGCATAGGTGATATCGCGTTAACAATTATAGGAGCGCCGTTCTTTATAATTCTTCAGAATAAAGTTATTTTGGCTAGTTACTTCGTAAACTTTGACACTCTCCTAATTTCTTCGAGTTTCAAGCTCTATGTTTTTAAATTCGTAGTTCTAATCATTTTGCATCGAACTCATATCTGGTACGAGATATATATATATAAAAGATAAACGTCCGAATAACTGGACATGTACCTATGTCCGAATATTTACACAAAACTTTTTAGTCTCAAATCCTTTTTTTAATTATAAGTTTTGTGTCTGGACTTAGGTACATGTACGATTATTGGAACGTTTTTATCTTATTTATATTATGTAACATTCTTGTGAGCAATTCTTCATCAATAGCCAACTAGAGATTTATCTCTGATACAAATAACTATCAGCAATAATTTCAATCAGGCCTTTAAGTATATATAACATACAAACAGAAAGTAGAAGAAAGCACAATCAGTACGGCCTTTATGGCAGTTTATTTTAGCTGAAATTTTAAAATAAAAATTAATACTACTATTGAGCACCAACATCTAGCCTCGGCCGTATGTTGCGCTTTCTTCTACAAATAGTGTCATACGTGGTTTTTGTTAATATTTCTAGAAGAAATTTTATTATTATTTGGTACATTTTTCTAATAATATAAATTTTATTGATGTTATCATAGAAAATTAATTCTTGGTTTAAAATTCAGCTTTTGGGAATAAATTTTTCATTAGTATGCTATTGTTGTAATGCGGAATGTTACGTTTTATCCAGTTACATCATGATCTCCATAAATATTACGGTAAATTCTAATGCATATATCAATCAATTATAAAGTACTGTTATAAGGACAATTGATCTTTAATAGTAGTTGCAAGTAAAAACTGATAAAATTGGAATAGAATTAATTTAATATATAATATTAATTTTATATTTTATTGTTATGTTAATATTTAAATGTATATATAGGATGTATATACAGTCACCAATAAAGATAGAGTCCCACAAGCAATAGATAGAAAAAGAGAGAGAGAAATAGTTTGCTTTCTCACAATCTCTTCTGTTTCTATTCTATTCTTGTTAAGGATGGCCCCGGTGTCGCTCTAAGAATAAAGCAATTACACAAAATCGCGAAAAAATTTTAATTTTTTGCATTTTTCAATTGTATTTCTAATATTTAATGGAATTTAATTCCTTGGAATGATTAGTTTGCACTCCTCCAGAGGACGGCACTTCGAGTCGCGCACTGGCGAATAGGCGACGGAGCTCAGGCACTGTCGGTACATACGTATGTACACATTGCGCCGTGAAACACGTATGCAGAGCGCGCTACACTACAGGGTGAGCCATAAGTCGGGCACCGGATCCGTCCGTGGCTACGTCGACCTCCGACGCTCTCGTCTCGCCTCGATTCCGTGCGCGATCCAGAGGCTGTTGTGAGACGTAACGGCCAGCCGGCGTTCTCGGAAGCCCCGAAGCTCAGACTCCCAGGACGCGCGCTCGCGCCGCCCCAGGTGATCCGCCGGAGCGCTCCTCTCGGCGGCGGTCGGTCGCCCGTGTGTGTGTGTGTGTGTGCGTGGTCTCGTGACTCACCCCGTACATATATATACATACATACATGCGTATATACGCGTGATACGTCGCGCGACTGCCTGCCACCGAGGAGCAGCAGCGGAGAGTGTCGCGCGTTTTTACCGAGGGCCGAGGGGTATAAGAAGCCGCGAGGTAAAAAAGTTCGTCGTCGCGCGCCACGACGAGCCACGCACGGGCCGCCAGGGAGAGACGTGTGTTTGTGTGGTGTGGTGTGTGTGTGTGTGTGTGTACACCCGTGTATCACCGTATACGCCGCGCGCACGTAGAGCATCATCTGATGTGACACGCACATACCAGCGAGCGTACATACACCAACCCGCAGCCGTCTCGCTCGCTCTCTCTCTCTCTCTCGCCACTGCTCGCCCACCTCGTCTTGCTGTCCAGGAGCGATCAGCCGAGCATCCCAACGGCACGTTTGTATGCGCACGTTCGAGCCGCGTGCGAGACTCTTCAGACACTCCGCTCGGACCCCTCTTTGCATGGTAAGCGGTCGGATTTTAGGTTAGAATCTCCGCGCGATCTTTCCCCCCTCCCCCTCTCCCCGTTAACCTCCCGTCAACCTCCGCACGCGACGCACGAGGACGACGACGACGACGACGACGAGGAGGGCACGATGTCGACGTGTCGACGCCGGGGCTCCCCGTCCGCCGTTTGTTTATCGATCGCCGCGGTTGTCAACCGCGATCTTCTTCCCGCCGCTCTCGCGAGAGCGGAGAGGGACGCGGCCTTCCTCACGGAAGGAATCCCCGAGGCCGCGAAGCGCGACCTCGTTTCTCGCCTCTCTCTCGGTCTTTTCGCCCGGTCATTCCGATCGGACGGACTCGGTCGAGGGGGGTTACCGTCCTTTGAGGTTAGATCGCCCACGGCGCGAACGACCTTTCTCTCTCCTTCGCGGCTTCTCTTTCTCGCCCTC